GCGGACGGTCATCATGATGCTCTCCAGGAGGAACATTGCGTCGAAGCGGTTGGCGATCGGGTGGAAGCGGAGCTTGAGCAGGAGGATCAGCACCGTGTACACGCCGAAGAGGATCCCGATCGCCCGCGGGGAGGAGGAAGGGGTCCGGGTGGCGTCCGACAGGTAAAGGCCCAGAACTTTGAAAGGCGCGATGACGTCACCGAAATAGTCAGCGAATGGCTCTGAGGTCGGTTTTTCGAAAGCTAGATTAACGCCACCGTGCTGCGGATACCAAGGATAACGCAGAGTTATTTTTATGAAATACTAAAAAACCACAACTGGGCGTCATTTTGCAAATAGAAACTATAATAACTGGCTCACCCATAAAAATACTTATGTACATAGGGAAACTAATGGTGTACACGTTGTTTCTAGACTGAGCTGGAAATTGTAGTTGCAAATTGCAAAACGCAGTTCAACTAACGTTTGGAGTCGTTTAAGTATTATTTACTTGCCGAATAGCAATAAAGCACACGAAAACATCTCCCGAAAATACGAATACAATAGAAAGGAAGTAAGCAATGGGTAAACAATGCTAAAAAACATCAGAACACTAAAAAGGCAGAACGCTATTTAAAAAGGCAGAGGGCTTCCGTGAAAACGATTGGGATCAGCTTGCCACTGAATTTTTTATTCATATTTTCGTTTTTTGCAGCTGAAAATGAGCTGGTAACGGCTCCATACGATCTGCCTTTTTAGTGTGATGATGATTTTTTAGCCATGATTACCTTTTTTTACTTTCATTCTGTTGCCAAATATTTTACAAATATAATATTGAAAAATGTAGAGTTTTTCAATTTTATTCTTAAATATTTTAGGTATAATTCTTCGCGTTTTTGCTCATTCCTCTCATTTTGTATTTTCCATTTGATAAGATCCTCACAGAAGACAAAAACCGAAATAATAACGATAATATTCGTTCAGTGTATTTGATTCTCTGACATTTTGTAGTGGTTTTGAGGTTCAATATAATAATGAATTGAATAGATTTAGGTATACAGTGAGTATGCGTGACCTGAGTATATTGAGAGGAACGCAAGTATTTTTTACGGGCCTTAATTGTAATTCAGTCCATATTAATTGATCGCGCCCAGTTATTTTACGCATTAAAACATTTTATGTTCACCTACCTTTTTCATCTTAGTGCGTGATTGAAACTGAGGTATTACTCGAGCAATAATAACTTGTCAGTATTTGATAACGCACCGTTTACTTTTTATGAATGCAACGTTCTGACGCAATCGTTTGTTCTCCATCGACATTCATTTTTACTATGGTGGAAAATGAAGGGGTTTGGACTTTTCTCGTTTCCTTATGTACGTGAAAAAACACCTGCAGTAATATCTACATGTGCCAAATAATAAGGACACAGAATGTGATGACCGACTCTGATGATAGGGCACTTCGAAACTGAAGTTATCGCCCTCCGTTTGTGTGGACTCACAATATTTATACGTCAAATATACGAACTGGAGTTGTCCGTAAATCAACGCATGCATCCCCTCCTCATTTTTAACCTCCCCTCTCTCCATGGCAGGTCTTCTTTCCTTCCCTTGTCCCTAACTCCCTCCCTCCTAAGTGTGTAATCATGAACAGCACACTTCCATGATTTCCGCCAGTTGGAGGTCACAAAAGGCAGGGAAATTAGTTTTTGTAAACTATAATTTGAGTTCTCGTAGGGTGGAAAAGTCGTGAGTTCCATTGGAACCTGATTTTCCGCTCTATGAACATACCGAATTTTGTGCCGATCGATTATAAACACCAGTGCCCCAGCGGCGTCACAATGTGATAAGAACCTTTGACGTTTGCATGTGTTGAGTGAAATTAGCTGCAGGCGTTTTCCATCCTGAGTGAAATTCAACTTTCCATTTTCATGAGGGAAAAATGGCAAATATTCGCGTCTCTATTCAAATATAAAAACTTGAGCATTATTTGCAACAATGCGTGGCTGATGGGAGCCATGGAGAATGCAATTGATATTTGGTTTAACAAAGCTTACAATATACATTTTATTAAAACATAACAGAGATCGTTTGAATTTTGATTGTATTTCAATGAAATTTGAGAGCGGATCTTGAAGACAATTTGAGATGGACTCAAGAAAAGAATTCTCACTGTGGACCCCATCTGAGATCAATTTTGATGTAGAATCCCTGTCAAAAAATAAACGACCAAAATTTTCCGAAAAAATTCGCCCGCTCATTTTAATGTACAAACTTTTTGGTCTCGTATCATTTTCGTATCGGAAGGACGGATGTTCTGTGATTCTGGTGCAGGACACTTTCAGTTTTTCGACAGTCGCGATAAAATCCGTCCTACTTGCAACGACGATTTATCTTTGGGGAGCCGAACCTAAGCATTGGCGCAGACAGTTGGATCTGACAATATTTTGGCTTCTATTGGGCGCCTCAGCTTACACGGAGAAATGCTTTTTAGATGCAATAAACACCATCGATAAATTCGACTCTCTGATGTATCACAGGTTTGCTCAAATTCAGAATCTTAATTTTTTCGTGGTATGTAGGCCGTTGTGTTGGTGATTGGTAATTGCACGTATTTCTACCAAACGAAACTATGTGCATAATGAAGTGAGCCCTGTTATGCATATATTCTTATGGGTCTCAGGGCTCATGTCTTATTGCACATAGTTCCGTTTGAATCGAGTAAAGTGGGAAGGGACCATATTCTTTGGCTTATTTTCGCAACAATTTATTTACGATCCATTTATTTACCTGTACCAAAAATGATTTTACAGACGTGGCTACTTATTAAGCTCCTTTCTGTTAGATTCGGTTGAAATATGTTTGTATTGTCAAAGTTAATAACCTAACGTCAGGAAGAAGCTGGTTCTCGAAAAAAGAAAGTGGCAAAACATGGACAAAAAATGCCACTATTTTACAGCGGTTACTTTCTTATGCTCTTCAGTTTGCAAAATCACCGATTAAGAGAAATGCGGTGTAGCGCAGCCTGGTGTTAAAACTACAGCAGTAGGCCCGCACCACTTGACAATGCCCGAGTAATGAGGCAACTTTATCAACTGTACACATTGACCTTTTTAATGCATACTGGTAACTAGTAAATACTTAGGTTCGGAAATATTCCTCAACAATTTTCCGGAATGTGACGCTCTATTACATCCTCGGAAAGAAACCAATACGGGCTGTGAATACTATATATACCGTAAGTTCCGAGCTCCAAGACATAGTGTTCCGGGTGCTGGAGCTGAAGCTTTGACCGCTCTGGGTGCTACGGTTATAGGACATTTCGTCAACGATTTTTTGTCCGCGCTCCTGTTTTTTCCAGTAATTTACGTCCACGCGTTTTTTCGGCACGCGAGTTTTGGTCCACGTGCCAGTTGAGACCCAAAGTTAATTGGCCCACATGTAAATACAAACGACAATTGCTCACGACGTTTTTGGATGAAAATATATTATGTCTTGGAAGAACGAGGGTTTGCTTGTTTTTTTTTTTTTTGTCTGTTTGGTCCAACGGAGAATAATATATAGTTGAGAGTTTTGGTAAAAATGGGGGAGCGTCAATTCCATGAGACAAAATTCACTAAAACTCTCTACACCTCTTTGGTGTAACAGGACTTAATTAACTTTCAAGAAATTCCCACCTTGTTATACCCGAACCGGATAAACCTCTATATTTGCCTCAGCGAAAGGCTCTTAGATTTTTCCTGTGTACGATAATTATCTTGATTTATTTTGCGAGGAAAGATCTGTACTTTTAATGGATGCCTGTCATTTTACGTTCAATTTCGTATAATACTGTGCAACACCTCTGTTGTGAAATAGTTGATTTAGGCGCCGCTGCAAGGCGGGCGGTCGGCCACCGCGAAACGCGCATTAGCGCCTACAAACCTAAGTGGATACTTCAAGCATTGTGCAATGCGTGAAGTATCCACTCAGGTTTGTAGGCGCCAGTGAGCCTCTCGCGCTGGCAGCACGCCGCGCCGCTCCGCTCTGTTAGGCTTTAATATTTATACTCGCATAGTCAGCGTTTTTTAACTCATGATTTTGAATTGTTAGCACACTCTGCATTGATTATTCTCTTTAAATTGATGGGGAAAAAATATGTATCAATTTATCAAAGGAAAATAATAATATAATGTGTGTTTTTTAAATATTGGTGGTTCCGTGTCAAATTTAATGATTTCCAAACACTATAATTTTTTCTTTTACGTTTTGTGCTTTTGTTGTGCTGCAGCGAGGTGTACGCGCAACGAAACGCTCAAAATTTGACGTATTTGACTCTAAAAGATCGATGTACAGATGGGTTAAAACCAAAGATCACGTGCTTCTTGGTTTTTCCCCTATTTTATTCATTTTTGCTGTCTCTGTCGGCACAACTGCGGCTCATTGAGATTAGTGTCGCTTGGATAAGGCTTTACAAATATTTGTCATGTTTTGAAAGTATAAATGTTTTCAAAATGAAGTAATAGTTTCGTAAAGAAAAAAGAAAAAAGAAAAAAATAAAAAAATAAAAAAAGCACCTATACATATATAAGGTATATTGTACATACAATATTTTAAGAGTCGCTGAATGTCTCAAAATTATAATAACTAACTAACTTTAAGGATAGAAATAAAACCAAATATTCACAAATGACAATTTAAACAGATGATTCAAAAGGAGAAAGTGATAACATTTCATTCAGAAAATGAGCAACCATAACAACACCTCCTTCTCTCTCAATTTCTCCCCATATTCATTTCATTCCCACCAAGTCACTGCTGCTAATTTTACGTGTGGGTGTAAACTACCGGACAAAAAAGGTGCGCGGACAAAAAATCGTTGACAAAATGTCCCTGAAACCGGTGCTGCACCCGGAACTTCCAACCTCTGAGCCCGGAACACGGACGACGTATGTGTATATCACCCGTAAGTCAGGCCCTCACAGCCGGATTTTTCTTAAATTTTTATTCTTCTTGTGTCTAGATTGTTTAGCCTATGTTGCCAAAAGGTATATCCGGCTGTGCCCTCCTAATCTCATGTTTTTTATCCTCCGTGTTATTTTTTCTCAGTGGCTCTCCCCTGGAGGTCCCTCGGCTCAACAGTCGTCTGCTGAGCGGAATGTGCGGCATCCTCCTCTTCTTCACATCCATCATGCACACCCTCCTGTACTCCCACCTGAGCGACAAGCTCGTCTCCAAACGCACCCTCGTCCAGTGCCTCAACTACCCGCTCAAGACCCCCCGCTTCACCGACTACCTCATCCCTCTCGTGGGCGTCGTGTTCTACTCGCAGCTCATCAAGCGGTTCCTGGACCTGAACACCAAGTGGCAGGGCCTCGTCGCCGCGCTCCCGGACGCCGCCGTCCCTCAGAAAGGGATCGAAAGCGTCCGGCTCATGCACCACGATTTGTGCCAAGCCAACCTCAACTTCAATTACTACCACGGACTCCAGTTCCTTATTTTCTTCTTGAGTATTTTTTTGAAGCTCGTCACCGACTTGGCCTTCTTCCTATACCTGTACATCCCTGATATCGAGCTGCAGTGCGTTGTTTATGTCGGGTATTTCATCAATTTCACCCTCTTCCTGGCCGTTTCGGGAAGCTTGTTGAGAGTGGTAAGTAAATACGAGTGACCGCGTTTTTTAATTACTCGAGTGTATACCTGTCGCAGGCAAAAAGTGAAATCAGGCATTTTCAATGCCCAGGCAAATAGTCAAATTTTGACTGTCTACAAAATTTTGTGAATTTATGGCGAAGAGCTCAGTATTTTTCACTACTTTTGGAAAAATAACCCATCAAACCTACGAACTCCTTTTGTCTCCTCCTCTTCAGTTGCTTCTGATATTTTTAAATGTTGAAATTCCAAAAATTCTGTATTTTGCGACATGCTGAAAATTTCAAGATCAGTGTCTCTTCAGGAGCTGAAAGTTGTTTAAAATACCATTGTGTGTGCAAATTTTTACTCAGAATTTTTTCCTGCAGGAGCAATGGATTATTTTGTCTGAAATTAGGAAAAGCATCAGAATTTCAATCTAAGTAGAGTATTTGACTATTTGCCTAGGCATTTGACGAAATGCCTGATTTTACTATTTGCCTGCGACATACCTACACGGAGAAAAAGAGTGTTACCGGATATTAGATCTCTGATCATCAGTAACAGGATGGTGAAATAGAGCTGGGTCCAGGTTAGCCTCCGGAGGAATTAAAGCCAAAAAATCCACAAATCAAAATTAGAGTCACAAAATGAACGGCAATAATGTTCTCCATCTATTATTTTTAATTTTTTGGTTTTAATTTTCTTTCAGGTTAGTATGTGGACCCAGCACGACCGCACATTTTGTTACCTGTACAGTATTATCCGGGCCACGTTTTTGGTGTTTTTTTCTTTTCCTGTAGGTCGATCATTGAACCATTATCGAATGACCTTAATAAATAGATATAATTCCCAGGATAGGGATATATCGATCTAGTTTATTTGATAACTATTCAATAATTGAGATGCTGGTCACATATCGTTTTTTTCCGGACGAGCGAAAGTAACTACTTTTCAAGGTTGTAAAATAACTAAAAAAATGTGTTTTTCTACAAGATAATGATCGTAAAGTTCCTATTTAAAAAATGACGATAGGCTCTAGACTCATGCATGTCAGAATTGATTCAATGTAACTGTTTTTTTTTTTTTAGTTTCATTTGATCCAATTGCATGTAACTGATAACATTTGTGTGCAGAAACAACGGGTGAGCTGTGAAGTAAAAAAATTACAGTTGAGCAATTTATCTTCAAAGTGTGTCAGTCAGGTAAGTAATATTTTCTCCTTCTCCTTTTTCTTGACTTTGTCGTGAAAATTGGTATAAAAATGATCTGATTTTTTCAATGCATCAATACACAAAAAATAAATTTGAGCGTTCTGCTGCATTTTCTTCTCTTCAAAATTTCAATCGTGTGCAACAGAAAACATTATATCTTGATTATGAGTGACCTCTAATAATTTTCGTTGCATGAATCGTGCTCTACGTAAAATTTTGATAAGCAGCATGCGTGTTAGTCCTTAAATTCAAACCTTGCTAGACGTCCATTGCTACATCAAAATCTAGAGAATTTTTAAAATATCCATTTTTGAAGCCTCGACGAATGTAAATTGTAAAGAGGTTGTTCCAAAAACGCCGATTTTGGCCCCCCCCTGGATTTGGCCCAAACTTTGCTCAGATGTTGTACTAGGTGTCCTCGATGCTTGGGCAAAATTTCAGCCCCCTCGGATAATTAGGGGGGAGGGGGCAGGGGGGCAAAGTTGCAATTTTTTCAAAACTTTAAAAATCGATATCTCGCGAACGGTTTGAGTGTAAGTGTTGCGGTTTGCGCTAAAAAACGTTAAAAAATATTCTCTACACGAATATTGATGCTGTTTGCATGGTTGCGTAATTTATCGTAGTCATAAATCGATTTTTTCGATTTTGAAGGTTCGACTTTTTTTCGTTTTTCGTCTCTCCTCTCCAGGCGATTGTTGCTATGTGAATAAAAACCAGTTGAGGTGATTCTCCATAAAATTTTGCATCTACCACACTTTGTTTGACCTTGGGGAAACGATTCATTCTTGAGTTATAGCGATTTTTCTGCGCGTTCCCGGTTACGCGCGAGCGGCATATCGGCGGCGCTTCATCCCCCCCGGGCGAGGCAGAGGTTGTTTCACTGCTAGGGCCTTATATTAATGCTGTAGGCTGTAATTATTGATATTTTCTCCTTCTCCCACCCTTCCCCTCCTATAAATATGTTTTTTATACTTCGTTATACAGGGTGTCCCGGACCACCCGTACCAGGTCTTTTTCTCGGTTGGTTTAGGTAGTACGAAGTGGGGGACCGCGGGGTTAAACAGGGAATTGACCCCAAGGTATCCGAATTTCATGGTCCCGAAGCCCCCCTACCCTCCCTTGGGGGGTAAAAGAGGGAGGCACAATGTCTCCCGACTTTAGGGATCGTGACCCCCTCTTTACCCCCCAAGGGAGGGTAGGGGGGCTTCGGGACCATGAAATTCGGATACCTTGGGGTCAATTCCCTGTTTAACCCCGCGGTCCCCCACTTCGTACTACCTAAACCAACCGAGAAAAAGACCTGGTACGGGTGGTCCGGGACACCCTGTATAACGAAGTATAAAAAACATATTTATAGGAGGGGAAGGGTGGGAGAAGGAGAAAATATCAATAATTACAGCCTACAGCATTAATATAAGGCCCTAGCAGTGAAACAACCTCTGCCTCGCCCGGGGGGGATGAAGCGCCGCCGATATGCCGCTCGCGCGTAACCGGGAACGCGCAGAAAAATCGCTATAACTCAAGAATGAATCGTTTCCCCAAGGTCAAACAAAGTGTGGTAGATGCAAAATTTTATGGAGAATCACCTCAACTGGTTTTTATTCACATAGCAACAATCGCCTGGAGAGGAGAGACGAAAAACGAAAAAAAGTCGAACCTTCAAAATCGAAAAAATCGATTTATGACTACGATAAATTACGCAACCATGCAAACAGCATCAATATTCGTGTAGAGAATATTTTTTAACGTTTTTTAGCGCAAACCGCAACACTTACACTCAAACCGTTCGCGAGATATCGATTTTTAAAGTTTTGAAAAAATTGCAACTTTGCCCCCCTGCCCCCTCCCCCCTAATTATCCGAGGGGGCTGAAATTTTGCCCAAGCATCGAGGACACCTAGTACAACATCTGAGCAAAGTTTGGGCCAAATCCAGGGGGGGGCCAAAATCGGCGTTTTTGGAACAACCTCTTTCTCACCTGCGCAATTTTGTATTTCCAGGTATTATTGTATTTAGGACAAATCAAAACAGATAGGTGCGAAGTTGTGGCTAATGGGTTCGCGCATTTTGACCGACCGTTCATGATTTCCGTAAGTTATCCTCAATCTTACATTTATTGGAATAAACACAAATCTTGATTTTTTTAAATATTCCATGAACGAACTGTGAACAGTCAAGAGTCAACTGTAAAGTTAATTGCATAGTGTATGCCTCCTCTGTTAGAATGTCACGCTGATCTTCCTCTTTTCCCCGAGAGTTTAATGTTGAGTCTTCAACAAATGTAAAGAGAACTGAACATATATGGCCAGAAAAAATGTAAATATATTAGAATTCGATTGTTTTTCTTCTTTATTCTGTAACTTCTAATGAGTGTCGCCAATTATTAAAGTACAGAATTGCATATTACAAGCTGGGAATGAAATTAAAAATTATGTCCGCTCTTCCCAATTTTCATTCAAGAGATCTACAAAAAACAGAACATAATTTTTTCTCTGATCGAAGACTGACAATTTTTTCCATGTCATGTAATCGTATTCCACCAGGCTCATTTTCAACCAAAGGGTGAGTTGCGCCGGTCACAGAATCGTGTTTTGGCGCTTGATTCTTGTATAGATTAGCTAAAATAATGAGATCAGTCTAAACAACAACTTTCTACGTTCAACATCAACCGAGATGTTGCGCTTTGAAAAATTCGGTCTCTGACGTCACCCACCGCGGCAGTGAAACCCTTGGTTTCTTCCACCTTGCTTTCATCAGTCAGCGTGACGAACATTTGCTATTTGTTTCTCCCAGATCATTTCGGCTACAGCAACCGCACTGATTGTGATCATACAGATGGGACCGAATACATTCCATTTGACTCAATCAGACATTGAGGACGACTGCTGCTAAAGTTGTAATTAATAATCATGAAAAGAATCTCTGAACATATTGGCATACATATACTTACGGCAGAATATCAGAAAGGTCTAAACTACATGCGGCAAGGTAACAAAATCGTCATCTGAAAATATGCACAACGATCTATCACATATCGACGGTGAAACTCCCAAACCACGTATCCCGTTTTCGGTGTTGAAAAATCTCTGCTTCTATTTTATTTTTATGCAGGCGAAAAAACCAACACCATTCTTTGAAGTGTTCACAGAATTTTCTTCGCGCAGAGAAGAAAAATCATGGCAGTTTTTAAAAAAAACCGTTGTATAGCTTTTCATTTAGAGATAAAACTCGACAAGAAGCCTGCAACGTCGCAAACCGAGACTCGTGGTTTCGGAATTTCACCGTCGATATGTCGGAATGGTCGTATGATCTAAGAATCCGATCAACAGAGTAGCAGCGTATAATACCACCGTTCTAAGGAAAAACGCCGTATTAGATTTACGAACAGACTTATAGTTATTATACATTTAAATTTTTATTCGCATCACATTTGAGAGCTGCCACATTTCATCGGAAAATATTTGTATTTTTGAAGACAGTTTTCAGATATTTTAGATTGAATTACAAGCAAAATTGTCTGACAAATTTGAAGAAAAATATTCAAAATTTACCCTGTAAATTTCCTTTTTATTGAAGGAGAAATGGCAGCATCTGGAGGCTCTTACGGCGTCCTTCCGTAGCACGGTAGAATATTGAGTAATGCTGTTGCCCCATATGATTCTCTGTTGAATCGTCTCGACGCATAAAAAACGCCTTCATCGGGGAAAGATACTTCCTAGCGTGGCCTCAGAGGCTGAATAGTTGCATCATTTAAAAAAAACCCGATCAGCAGTGGTGCGGTGTGGATTAGTGAGTAATGCGGTTACTTGCATTATTTTTTTATGAAGTAGCAGGGTACGGAAAAATCCAAGGAAAACAAGAACTTTATGCTACAGAAAATGAGACATGAATAGAACCTAGATCTTTTTAAGAAAATTTTTCTATAGTGTGTAAAGTTTCGTAAGTCGTCAACTTTTTCTGCGAAGGTTATTATTTCGTCGGGTTTTATCAAATACCAAAATGACATAAAAGTCTAAGTTTGAGGAGCAAATGGTTTGCGCGAGTGCACTCGCATTATACGTTACTCGGGACACATAAGTTTGTTTGGTGTTGCTAGGCGGAGAAAATAGACTCAACATCCAACGCTACCAATTGCTAAACAGTCGTTTAGTGTTTTTCTTGAAGGACGGATCGTGATTCTTTTTCACGATTCAAAGAACATAACCTGGATACTTGAAGACAGATTTCTCGCAGAAAAAGCGTGAACTGTTTATATTCATTAGCATGCAAACTATCGAGGGACCAGCTCTTCTAGCACACGAACCCGGATCGAATAAACTTTTTGACATCTACAATACGACAAACACACTGACATATCATCTTATAGATCGCGTAAGTTCTGCAAGGGAGGGGAAATCCTGAGTTTACAGTTGCATTTTAATGAGAGGTTTTTAATGATTGTTTACGGGGGCAATTGGAGTAAATATATTTGAAAGTTTTTTTTTTTTTTTCTTTCTTTCTTTTGAATTTTTGTTACCTTCTCAACAAGAAATATAAACAATTATTTTACATTATGAGGTGGTGTTACAGAATGCCTCGACAGTTTAGAGGCATTGTATTTGAAAGAAAGAAAATATACACCTCTATGAGTTCATAAAGCGGCATTTTTCTTTCTAGCAGATTAGTCACCGTGTCATAAGTTTTACAATAATTGTTCAATTTAGAAACCGATGAAATTCCTAAACTAAGCTTACCTTTTCATTTACTAACATCTCTCTTGTGAATCCGGAAATGATGCATTCTCTAATTTTTTTGTGAAAACTCGATGAATCTGCCTTCGGGAATTCATCACTAAATAATACAAGCGAGAAAAATAACAAGATTTCATCCTAAAATGCCTGTATTCAACCGATTTTCCTCAGGAAGCGGCTGGCTTCTACAACGCACCACTTGCCAACTATTCTCCTCTGCTTCCAGAACGCGGAGCAATGCGGGACGTGGCAGTTTTTCCGCATCCAACTATTCACCGTATCCCAAGGACAAGCTTCAAAAGTGCCTTGAAGATGTGAGTAAATCGCTTATTAATAAGCTTATTCTGGGACTATTTTACTTATAATAAATCGTACTCAAACGTGCTGAGATTTTTATTGTTGACAAATCTTTTGAACCCTTATTAATGGCGTAGATGGGTGAGAATCGGGAGGGGGGGGGGTATGGACCCTCAATGAACCAAGTTTTAATCAAGAATGGGTCATTTTTCTCGATTTTCAAGAATAGTTTACCCTTGAGCCTCCTTTCCCCCGAGAGAAATTTTTCTTCGTGAATCACCTTCTTTCGATTAATGAAATACATTTCGACGGTGAAAATCCCAAATCACGTATCTTGTTTGCGGTGTTCCATAATCTCCGCTCCTTTTTTATATTTTTAAAGGAGGACAAATCGGTATTATTCCTTGGAATTTTCCCAGAATTTGCCTCACATGCACAGAGGATAGAAATTACGTTAGTTTTCAAGAACTGACATTGAGTAATTCTCCTTTTTAAAAAAATAATATCTTGAAATTTCGTGGGAAATATCTCGCATTTCATAACTATGAAAGATATTTTTCAAAATTAAATACAAAATCAAATGAGAGGCAAATGGATTTTGCTTTTTGGTGTTTTTCAGTGCGTGTTGCATACCCAGTCCCCGGAAATATGTTTCATTATTTTCATTATTTCACAAAGAGGGAGGAAGGGAGGGGGGGTGGTCATCGGGAGAAGACTTCGCTTTCGGTTAAAAATAAATAAATATATACATTTTTTTTGCACAGGACAGACAAATCAGAGACAAAGGAGAAATATTCCACACCATGGCAACCCGTGTTCGAGACGCCCATACCAAGACACATGTACCTGGAAGAGTGGAACAGCAAGCATGTGCGTTACTTGACTGCAATGTACTTGAGCGAATACAATAGCACAATAGCTAACAAAGCACCCTCGGCGATTAATTTATTAAAATTTTAAACAGATATTATTTCATAATATTTAATGAATCGACTACAAAATGCTTCAACAAGGAGTATCCTGTTAAATTCCGAGTGATGTGTGTTGAGATAGAAGTTTTTGAGGGAAACAGAAACAAAAAATCATAGTACACTGTTTTATATTAAAGTTTATTGCTTTAGAATAAAATTCGTAACTAACCAGCCAACTCAGTATTTTCTCACAATAAACGTTACTTACAATGGTTTGAACCAAAAAAATACATTTATATTTTTTCAAAAGTTGTGTTTTTTTTTGTTTTTTTTTTGGAGGAGTTTAAATTCTCCTTGGGTCCATCCTTGTCTGTAAGCCAAAAAGATTATTTAATTTTTATCTCTATCATTGCGTCTTGAGGAAGGACGCAGTGACACATTTTCAATATTTCAAAACAACAAAGTCTCTGAGAAAACAAGAACATAGCGTCAAACTTCAATGCACACATTATCCATTGATCACGGCTGAATTATCAGAAATTCTTAAGTCTGGTGAAAAAAAAATCCTTTCGTTTTATCGCTATGAAAAAAATGAATTATCTTTTTTAACACATTCCTTGTCTAATGGCAGTGTCTTTTGGTTGATGACTATTCACTACTCAGGGAAAACATTTAGTTATCGTCGAGAGGAATAATCTAAAGCTGGTTTGAGATCGCCCTCTGAGTCTCTCTTTCTTCGATTCAAACAAAACATTTAAAAACTCTCATCTGAGAGCCCCTCGCAATTTTCCCCATTTATTGAATCATGAATAAAGGACCGTTTATTAGACAGCCAAATCTTATTTCTATCCGCAGTCCTGAGATGCCTCAATATTCAAGTATGCTTGGATTCTATCTCCTCGGGATTAATGTCTGATAAGATCGATTTGAGAGGACTGATGACTTTATGAGCTTTCCTACTTCACAATGCTGGAAGTTGCTTCATAAATAAAGAGTTAGTCGACTCAGCGATTATTGGCTGGTTTTCATACATGATTATCATCCATTACGGGTATGTTATCGTGTATCAGTGTGGTGATTATTTGCATACCTGGAGATTTCGGTAAGCCCACGTTAATTTAAATTTCAATTAATAATTAAGGATTACACGCATAATCACATCTTAGACGAGCGAATTCAAAAGTTTGATAATTTAGCATTGTTCAGAGAGTAGAATTCCATCGATAACGAGACCCAGGCTTGTGGCTTTGGGTATTTCACATTGAATTGTTTCACGAGTGTTGGAAAGCTCTGACTGCCTTTTCTGTGCAGTTCTTGGGTAACCAATCATGTCTGATGGGCGTTCTCTTATCCCTCCACCCTGGGAACGCATGCTCTCTTGAGATGCCAGGCTCCTCCAATAAAATTATATTACATATAATATTACTCATTTGGATTTGTATTACCCGGTCATAAAAATGATAGAGGTACTGGAAAAGCGGATTGAGCATATTCCATCCATTTTATTTAATTTAATTAAAATCACGTAATGACAGGGACATACATGAAAACAGTTGCCAACGCTTTCGACCCTTCAATGACTTACCTATTATTGACGATGTGAGTTGTCGACCTATATAAGAGGAAAATTGCAGCCTATTTTCGATGTAATATCAAAAATTCAGACAAAATTGTGTCGGGAATGTCATGGAGCACAGTAACGATATAGTGTAGTACTTTATTTTTGTGAAGTCACCATAAACTGTCTCACAGAATGTTAAATTTTAGAATTTACATCACCAGAATCCCATTACCAGTAGTACCTCTAACCACTGCCGTCCTGACATTTCCGGGCCGGTTTTCCGGTGGTTGCAAAATGCAAATGAGAGGAAAAGCAACCGAAGTAAATTGTCGTCTCGGTGATCAGGGGAAAAAGAGCCTATACGCCAACACACGAAAACCATACAGAGAACGAGAAAAATTGAAGATAGTAGGACAAGTACATACAAGTCATATATCAAGACTCATGCGAAAGTCTTCCATAAATTTAAAATTACATTTGAGAGGCTTAGAGGACAAGGGAGATATACGTGTTAAAAGTCTCAAAATAATATGGAGCCTTATGGCGAAAAGAAACATCAAAATCACTTTATGATGCCTAAAAATTGGATTTCAGTGAATGGTGAATTTTTTCACAGAATTCATATCAAGACTGGGTATGGTTGAAATTATTAATACCTCAATTATTTCGAGAACTGCACTTATGCGCCATGTCCTACAAGTCCCCCTTTTCCTCTTAGCAAAATACAATCAACTTTTCTTGCCAACTGAATTTTTTACAGACATTTTGGTGAATTGGCAACAGAGGTATCATCCTGGAATTTTTTTATGAGAGAACTTAAGTATTACAGCATGATAAACTAATGTTAAGACAGAGGAAACACTCTGGAAGATGTAGGCCGGCAAGTTCAAGTGTTTGCATTACAAAATGGTAGAAATACTTACCACGTTGTCACGATCTAGAAATAAATTATCCTCATTTTTTCAAATTAAAGTATATATTTATCAACCATTACTTACTATGTAAGTTGTGAATAGTGGGGTGAAGGCCGCCAGAAATCAGAAGGATGCGTGAAATTGATGAGTCAGGGGGCACGCAAGATGGTCAAATTAATGAGCAGAAATCGAACAAAAAGCACAAAACAGACCTCAGATCAGCATCAGCGCAGGCAAGTCATCATTTTTCGATTATTTTAGATTATTTTAGATTTATTTTAGAAAAATCGATTCTATGTGAGGCAGCCTGTCTCACCTATAATCGATGTATGTATATTCGATGGATTTAAATATAGTGTTAGCAGAGTTGCCAACTTGCTGGAATCGCCATCAGCCACATGCCATCATTATCAATGGGCCTCTAAACAAATTATGAATGGAAGCACTACGAATTTATCTCTCTTCAAAATGTTACGAGAAAAATGAATAACATAACAGGAAGTCTGGAATTTAAATAAAATCTTCAAGCTTACAAAAGTTATAAGAGATAATTAGACTGAACTTAAAAAACAGGAGAAGTTCCAAACTATTCATATGGCCGTTGTATTAAAAACTTTTTAAATTCTCCTCATCCTAAAAGTAAGGGAAGTCCAGATTGCGACGTTGGAAGTCTGCGCTTAAGTTTTATTTTTTGAAAGGAAAACCAACGAAAAACATACTGTTGAAATTTTCTGTAAATTTTCTCCACTAATTCTAAAAAAAAAAAAATCACGCAAAATTGCAAACAATTTTCTCAGTAGTTGCCTTTGCAAAAAGTAAAACATAATACAAGGTTTTGAACGATGCACAATCGAAGTACAAAAAGTTCACACGCATGCTATCAATGTTTTACGAAGAGGTGAAATTTTTATAAATTTTATGAAGATACTTTGTTTTTTCACAATTTTTTCCTATGAATTGGACGCACCGGAAATATTTAGATCCCCCCTTCCCCCTTTTAATCTCTATTTTCTGGCAGATTCTCGCGACACTCATTCAGGACTGGCTGCTTCTGGGAATTGGTCTGACGTTGGGAGTTCCAACATTGGTCGTGGGAGCGCTCTACAGGAATCCAGCATCAACTTTCACCTTGGACGATGACCAAGCGTCTTGGATTGGTAAGGTATTACATCGTCCTTGAACTCTAGCGTTTCTCTGTATTTTTCTTTGCGGCCATGGAAAAGGGGATTCAGATGGCTAATTTTCCGAGAGAGTGTTTCTTGTCAAGCTAGATAAAAAAAAGATCAGTATTTGAGATTTGAATGGCAAAATCTCTTTAGTAACTATTTACGGGTTGCCTACTAGCACATTCCAGCGTTTTTTCCTCCCCTAAGAAAAACGTTTACCTTTCTACATTCCATCAATTTTTATTGGAGAGTGCTTTTTTACATTTCAATAGTTTTATACGAGTATATCCCCTACTAAAAAAGTTGTATAAATTCTTTATTCCAACAGTCTTCTCTTGAGTGGGTGAGTTCAAAACAGTTTTTTTTATTATAATTATTTCTTTATTTTTGTGAAGTCAATTGACAACGGATACCACCAAGTAACTTTTTTAGTGTTCAATTCTTTTTTTCAGGGAGCATACCCTTCATCTGCAACATTATTGGGAGCCTGGCCTCGGGTCCATTCCAAGAGCAGTTCGGCCGGAAGGGTAGCATGATCCTCGTTAACATCCCCTTCTTCTGCGCCTGGCTGCTCCTCTTCTACGCTCGCTCCGTTGCTTCTCTCTACGCCGCGTCGGCCATCATGGGCCTATGCGCCGGCTTTTCCGAGGCCCCTCTCCACTCCTACTGCGGCGAGATCGGCGAGCCCCACCTCCGGGGGATGCTGTCCACCATGTCCACTTCCGCTGCCATCATGGGGTCGCTTCTCATCTACGTCTTCGCCTACTTCTTCGAGTGGAGGGGTGCTGCGCTCATCAGCAGTGCCTTCCCGGTTATTACGTTTATCTCCATGACTCAGGTGAGCTATATCAGGAGGCCATATGAGCCTTACCTTGTCATAATTATACAATTTTAGTTTTGAGGTAACAATTTTTTCGGTTCCTATGGTGAAAATGCAGCATTCTTACACCGAGACCCATAGAATTGTCCCCACAAAAGTATCATCGTAACTGGAACTGAAAAGTAGGAGGATTTGGAAGCAACCACGACTATAGTAGAAGCGACGATTTTGCCTGCTTCGTGATATAAGAAACTCAGTATAAACCGTTTTCTACCCTGCATGTAAAAGTTCATATTGAGGATCGTCGCTATTCGGAGAGGTAGATGGAAAAACGGCGTGAGACGTATGCAGTTGTAAGACAATACAGTTCAAAATTTTAAAATTTTGCCAAATGAGGTTTATCAAAATTAAAATACATATTTTACCATAAACGGACTTTTCTGTCAGCCTTTAATTAGTGCCATTTATATGTGACTGTCCACGGCCCAGTGGACATTAAACTGCAGAGGGACATTTTCAGACATTTTTTTGTCAAGTTGCAGGATAAAAAAATCTGCGATTAACTCTTCGACGGAGAATATCGAGTTTTGATTGCAGGAATTTTCTTTGCTAAATGTTGAAACAGATGGAGAACGTTTCCAATTTTTGCAGTTTTTATTTAGATACCCGAATCTCCTACGTGGTTGGTAATGAGAGGTAGACTGGAAGATGCACAAAGATCTTTATGCTGGTTGAGAGGCTGGGTCGAACCAGATCAGGTTAGAGATGAATTTGAGGCGCTCGTTAATTACACCAAACAGAAAGTAGCTTCACTTGAAACGGCTCATCTGAACATACTTGGTGAGTAATGTCAATAAAATGTTTCATTATAAAATGATCATATGTATTTTGGTAGCATTCAGCTTTTTTGGTTCAAAAGAGACATGAAAGAAACTTTGTTGAAAAGAGAGTTTTTTTGGTTCATGGAGTCAAAAATGAGTTGGGAAAATTCCAGATCTATTTTTAAAGAACGTTTTCAAATTTTCTTTTTTCAAACCTAGTGTTCTGAAGACAATGATTTCTCGTACTTAATATCGAAAAACCTGTGTTCGACATATCATCATTTATTTAGTGCCCTTCGTTAATTATTTGGTTTCGCTTCTACTTATTAGATTATGATGAAACCAAAGGACATGCGGTTTTCTGTGACTTTTTCGAGGTAAAAATGGATGAATAAAAAGGACCTAATTATTTATTCGCAATGTCTCTCATAAAGAACTGTGCCGTGAACAATTAACAAACACAGCTATTGTTTCTCAAAATAATTATTATCCGTCGCTGAAACTGTCAATATACCTTTGTGTCCCAATAAAAAGAGAGACAACAAAATTCCTCACTTTTTGAACAAAATTGTCAAGTACGTCATTTTTTGTCATCTTTAGGAGTTTACTCCCATGGACCCTCCTCATCAGAAATGTCTTGACAGTGGTAAAATTTACCCCCCCCCCCCAAATATTCCTGGGTCAAGCCACTGGGGGAGGAGTGTCAGTAACATGAAAACAAGAAAGATAAAACTTTCACGGCATCGCAAACACTCCATATTGAACCTTCTTCTTAATATCGTCTACTTTTAGAAGATGGCCTGGAGTCACTACTGCGTGCAAAATGAGTTTGATGTAATTTTACAGGCTCACTACGTGCGTTTTCTGTTCATTAAAATTAGCCATGTCCATGTCTTACTACACAGACTTATAATATTTTATTCCAGAGAGACCAGCAATCGAGAAATGCAATGTTTTCACAGCTCATTTGAAAGGACTTACTGCTAAAAATCTGTTACGGCCTCTACGGATGGAATGTATAGTAATTGCAAACAGCTACACCACAGGGTTCGCGGGCTCGAAGCCCTATCAGATCCAAATTTTCAGACAACTCGGCTACGGTGACTTTGCTAAGCGTATTTTGGTAAGCTCGGAGCTCTGAGATCACTCAATCAAGTTTTCAGGAGTGTTTTGCAGGAGAGACAATGCACCTATGCTATCGTGCAAAAGGAGAACGATGTACGAATACATGGAAGTCACCAAAATTCCCCATAATAAATACTTCTCTTTGAGAGAAAGTATGCATTTTTGCCTTGGAATTTTCAGATAACTTAGATGAAATCACGGATGCAATTCTCCCAAATTGATTAAGAAAAATATTTTCAGGATTCCTCAAGAATTCACATTTTATAAAAAAAAACACCCTGGGCCGCACTGCAGAATGAGTCCGTAGAAGAAGTCGGACATGAAATTTTTGACAAAAATTGTAAAATTTTACGTTTATGTCCTCACAATTTTAATTTTAAGGGGTGCTATTAGGAGAAAATTCCTCGAGAAAACCAATGAAACTACTTTTAAAACATCAACATGATGAAAATATACGCTTTCAAAGTTTTTAAATCATGTCCGACCTTTTCCATTGACTTGATCCATTGTGCGCCGTGTCAAATTGGATGCCACTATTCGTGCTCGACGATTGTCCGTGTTGCATAGCAAAATATTGAAGGCGCACTGGTTTCAATCGCGCTTTACCGTATGCGTATGTGCAATATTTCGCATTAGAACCGCCGGCGTTCTTCCTTAGTATAATCCCAGTGTGCGATCCATTTTAAGTATGATGCACCATGATGCTCGTGTGTAAAATATGCAATGCATGGATCTGATTTGGCATAGTGCAGAGATAAAAAAAAAAAAAAAAACGGAGACATGAACACGGATGAAAATCGCTCCGTACGATGCAATGAAGGATCAGCTTTTTGCCGTTGCCGATACCAGTCATGTTTACAACATTCATATTCACGTCCTCATTCATGCAGTTGCCGTTAACCAAGTGTATTTTAATTATTTTCAACTGAGTAAAATTTTCCTTTTTTCATTATTTAGATACTAGGTCACTTAATTTTCTTCGTTGGCGCAATGGGAAATCTGATATTACTGCCGTACTTCGGGAAACGGAAACTAGCTTTGTTCGCTTTTGGACTGTCGTTCTCCTGTCTTTTTGGTATTGGGACCTTTGGCATTTTTCGCATGGAGCTCATCCAGATTCCAGGCCTCTTTTGGCTCCCTTTGATCCTAATACTAGTATTCAAATTCACTCTCGGGCTTAGTATAATGCCGTTACCATGGCAACTTTTATGCGAAGTATTTCCACCTATGTAAGTCTTAAATGCTCGTATTCAACCTTTATTTCGGCCGCTAGGGATAGAGCCCTTGGTAGAAATGACGACTAAACGACATTTCCAAATACGTAATCGCACTATTACTTCTTGTACCGTTAAAAAAAATTTCCCCCAATTGGAGATTTTTGCAGTTACGAACCTATACTATTTAGTATATTTTTGCTGACCTCTTCCATACTGAAAAATTCAGAGACTTTACCATTTCTACTGCGACTAGGTAATTGGAAAAATTGTGCAATCGTCATTTTTTACAAGGAACCACATAGCCACATCAGAAAATTATTATTTAGTGGATATGTAAATACAGGTCTGTGTCTTTGATAAGAAACCAACGTCAACCAAATCGGAGATAGTAGGACTATGCGGACATACCAATGTCAAATAAATTCATGACAATTACCTTATAATATTGTTCAGAGACATAATGTCTTTACGGCATTTATTTATGCCATTTTGTCGCAATGATTTGTTTTATCAGGCTATCATATTAATTTCTTAATTATTGAAGCTTTATGCTGGAGTGATTCATTTTGAGCCTATTACCATCAAAAGTAACTATAAATGTTTGCCAAGGTGAAGAAGCAATTCTTCAAATCAGACAAACTCTTAGTGCGTTTACTCTCTTTATTTTGACAGGGTAGACAGAAATAGCTACTATATGCATCTGGAGACGCAAACATGGAAGCGTCTCTCCTTCACGGGATGTATTTGACGGGCTACTCTATAGTGCCTCTGAGCCTCGAAAATAAAATTCAAGACTAAAATACCCCACACAATGTAGCGGAAGTTTTTTTATTTTATTTTTTAAGCCTTGGAGACAAAGAACTAGCTTTTAACAGGGGGGAGGAGGAAGCTCAACCTACAACGTTTTTCAGCCTAGGGAGGAGGGAGAGTCTAATGCTGCCTAGTAGCATACAGTTACCTGGCCGTGGAACATGGGGCCAAAAAATCGAAAAAAATATCTAATGTCATAATACCTTAAATTTACTCTGTTCATTTTTCTACTTCTAGTGGCCGCGGAACTGCCAGTGGGATATCGTCAGCCTTTGGAAATTTAATCAGTTTTGGCATGACTAAATCATTTCTGTACTTGAAAGCTTGGTTGGATCTGCCGGGTGTAATCTACCTCTACGTGGCGTGTGCTTTTCTTGGCTGGCTGTACTTCTACTTCTACCTTCCGGAAACCGAGGGCAAGACCTTAGAGCAGATAGAGTCTTACTTTACCGAAAATCATGATCGAAAGGAAAAATTTTTCATCGGCAAATCAGGACGCAAAAATTGAGCTCTAAACATTCGAAAGCAGTTTAGATCTTAAGCTGGGTCTGAAAGACCCAGCAACAGAGTAGATCCGCCGTTATTTGACTCAATGTAGTTTTGCTGATTGCTGACCCGTTTTTAGTAAATATCTCCGAAAATACACCATATCTTAACAAACCATGATAAAAATTGAAAAAGAGGGGGAAAATATGAAGTGACAGGCGCTATTATTTCAGGCTTACCCGAAGAAGTTCCTTTCCATCCGAGATCTATGGATTACACTTTAGTCTTCTCTAATGGCACCACTTTCTTATTTCCCGGACTATTTAGACGATTTAAGTTTTTTCGTTCAATACACTTCACTTCTCTCTTGAAAAGTGAGTCACCAATAAAGAGGAATAGCAAATGCGAGTGATGATAATAAATATGGTTACAGAACTGCTTTAGTAAGGCTCATTTTGGAACAGCTTGAAAGTTTTCATGGAGAAAAATGCTGCTTAATATAAGACTGTTAGGGTTAAGCAAAACTTTAAAGTGATCCTTATAGATTTAATGTTCACTACGGTCCAAGCTACTGGAGAAAACGGAGGAGGAATTAATACAGACAAGTCTATTACAGAATGTTGTTCCAGACTTGGATCCCCGTGCCCATTCGGCGAATCCATCATCAGCGGCGTGGCGTGCTTGCGATACATCGATTGATCTGCCATTTAAACCTATGGAAGAGGATCGATTAGTAGAGTGTTGGCAGCGAACACCTTAATGATAGATTCTATACCATACCTTCAAATGGGGAAATATCGATAATCGATCATTCACGCCTCGCCTCTGTATCATCTGATGTCCGGAACTTATAAATGAGACGTCTGGTGGGTTTTCGGCTACTGAATGTCTGGCACGTCCTACAATATGCTACGTAAGCTTTTTTTGCTTGTCCCATTTTATAGGAAAAGTTTTTTAGAAGTAGATTTAAAGAGACACAATGTAATTTTTCATGCTAATTGAAGCGCCAGTCTGTTTTAGGTTTAGCTGTAATGAATGTATAGTAGTAATTAAATGTACGGTTTTTTAACGAGTAATTTTTATTTTTATTTATATGGTCCACTGCTTTGCGTGTACAGTCTTTTCCACAACTTCTGTCAGGTTTGTAAAAGGAGAGGAGAAGATGTATGTAGCATTTCGGACTGAAGACCAGGTCTATCCCAACAAAGACTTGCGCGCAAAGTGACCCAAATTGTTGATTGCGATAACCTCCTCTGATACTTATTACGAACTAGAGTTAGGTACGAATGATTTTTACCATTTCCTTCTTAATTGCAATATAAATGTTTAATTAATGATCGAGCTTTGCTACTGATTCGGTCAAGATAATTCTTTGATAAGATGAGCTGCTTCAGAAAAAGAATAATGATAAAAAAGTAATGGCCCTAAAGTAAATTCCTCCGATGATCCACTTTTTAGTTTGGTTTAGTGAGTTCATAACTTAATGCGTTGGAGGCTGAATCATCTATCGCACATTTTAGTCACAGTTGTTTTCCCTCTCAAAATTATTTCCATGTGGTATTCTATGTTCCTGATAGTGTAATATTAGACTTTTAATTAGTGTAAGACAACACATGCCTCAACCAGTAGAACCATTTATTAATATGCAGGAATGAGTGTGGTGGCGCAAAAAATTATAATTTCTTATGTGAATCTGTGATGCGGAAACTTTACACAACGGACAATGCTGCAAATGAAATCCATGGTTGTAGTTTAAATGTTTTTTTGTTTTTTTATGGCTCCGAGACAGTTTGAAATTACAAAAAAATAGTGAATATTTTCCCCCAAGTCTATGATGAGCTTTCAGCTTTATAAACCTGTGTAGAGGGTAAACCCTGTTCCAATTTTTGTGAATCTTGGTAAATGAGTGGGCCTTCAAAACTTTTAAGATGGAGAAATTAAATGAGTCATATGGCATGCAGCAAGTCACCATTGACACCGAAAAAACAGAAACAAAACATAAACAAAATTTAAGGTCAACATCAGCCCAGGTAATTCGTATTTTAATAATATAATACTTAAATTTTCAAAAAGCCGTCGCTTTCATTATGGCATGATCTAATGCGCAGACTCAGCATGAAAATGCATTAGTTGCTGCTGGGAAGGGCTTGGAAGACAATAGCAGATAAATGCAGATTTTGATAAAAATAAGATATTAGTTTTTTCAACTAAAACTAGTCCTAAAATACATTCTACGAAAAATTCACTGCTAAAATCCAATTTTTAAGCATCAAAAAGTGAGTTTGAACTTTCTTTCCGCCATAAGGCTCCATGTAATTTGACACTTTCAACACGTATTTCTTAAAGTAGCAAAAACTGCAGTTAATCGTGTTACGTCGAGTAAAAGCATAAATTGGTAGTTTTCATTAAAAAAATTCATTTTTTTCTTGTTTCAATTTTTTCTTTTCCTCCAATCCTATTGTAATTCATCATTATTCGTAATGATATTAATTTTTGCAGCTTTTAGCGACGCTCGCTCAAAATTGGCTACTTTTGGATATTGGTTTGACATTTGGGGTACCACCGTTGGTTTTGGGAGCGCTTCACCTGAATACTGGATCAGGTCTTTCATTAAACAGCAGCGAAACATCATGGCTCGGTAAACAATTTTTTTTGAACGTGTGCAGCAATACAGCTCTATAAGTTCCAACTGATATTTCAATATTTTTCCGTCAAAGTTATAATCAAGGATTAGATATAAAATGATAGACGTTTCGGGGTGGTTTTAATCCCCTCTTTGACCAGGAAATAAACATATAAAATCAATTTTGATATATATACACAAACAAACAAACAAAGTACGAGGAGTGGGTTGAAACAATCCAAAAACATCCCAGGAATTTTGTTTGTTCTTAGTCTTCGTTTCCTATTTTCCTGTCAACTTATATAGGCTTTAATTTTTGTGTATCATTTTCATAGTTATCTATACTATAAGCTCCAAGACCTCCTAATTTTGCGAAACTGGTGACGCTTAGTTCCAGCGTTCTACCGGGCCGATTTTCATGATTTTTGCGGTTATCGACGGGCAATTGTCTCTAGATAAGCCAACTCTTTTCAGATTTTCAAAATATGGCCCAGGTTTTTTTATATTACGTGGTAAAGTTGCGAATTCTCCCATTTAAACAATGTAAATTTATACTTTTTGTCATAGTTCGTTTGAGCGTTCTACGGGGCCGATTTCCATGATTTTTGCGTAAATCGACAGGTAAAAGGCCTTAGATGAACCCGCTGTAATCAGATTTTGAAAAAAGGATCCAGGTTTTTTTAAAATCACGACATAAAAGTGAGTGAGTTTATAGAATGCTCCGGTAGTGCTACCGCTATGCGCGGGAGGATGCGCAGTGGTCGAGGAGGTTGCGCAGTAGCTGTGTATATATATTATAGCCTGCGCATCAGCTCTATGCTTATCTACACAAGATTCGCACCAATACCCTCATGTTGAGCGGTGACCGAGTCATCTAAGACGTCGAATGCGTCCACCTTGAAGTCGGTGTAGGTTCGATCCCCGACTAATGAAATCATTATTATTACCTGACTATCATTGTTCATTGTTTTACTGCAATATTTCATCAAGCAGTCATTCCAAAACGCGTCCTTTTAATTTTAAAGTAATTTTAAGTAAAGTTTAAAATTAAAGTATACCTCATATCGTAATTGTTTAGGGGAAAAATAAAACTAACACTGATAGGAGGGTAAAAATAGGGCCGCGAAGCGGCCCATTGATGGCGCGGAGCGCCTTCAGGGGGTTGGGCCACGTAGCGGCCAGGGGGCATAGCCCCCTAGTATCACTAATATCATGTTGTTTCCCGACTCTCAGGAAGCCTACCCTCCATTTGCCATCTGATCGGGAGCCTGGCCTCGGGGTTGTTCCAGGAGCAGTTCGGCCGGAAAGGGAGCATGGTACTCGTGAATATCCCTTTCCTCTGCTCCTGGCTGCTCCTCTACCACGCTGAATCCGTGCTCGCTCTCTACATCGCCTTCATCACGATGGGCCTTTGCGCTGGCTTTTGCGAGGCCCCGCTCCACTCCTACTGCGGCGAGATTGCCGAGCCCCGACTCAGGGGAACGCTTTCCACCCTCTGCGTCGCGGCGACCATCTTGGGGGCGGTCTTCATGTACCTCCTTGGATACTTCTTCGAGTGGAGGATGGCAGCCTTGATTAGTAGTGGCGTGCCTGTCATCACGTTTTTATTGACGACGCAGGTACTATACCAACCTAACCAACCAACCTAACCAACATAAATAAAAATAAAGAAATAAATATAAAAACTCTGATTTTTATTTTATTATAATGATAAAAATTGATAAATTCAGTAGTTAGAAATTGCAATAAAGATATATATATAAACAGACAATAAAAGAATTTAAACACCAGAACTCAGAAATTCTTAATAATAAAATCAAGAAAATAGGAAATCAATTAAGGTTCAGAATCATCAGGTACGAGAATCATTATATGAGGGATCCCGATCTTTAAAAATTAACTATATTATTGGATCCGGCCGCATAATTTTTTTTATTATTTCAGAGATCTGCCTATTTGGATAATTTATTTGAATATATTTTTATTATAGGTACATGTCGCAGGAAATTAGTCAAATCAGGCATTTTATCAGATGCCTAGACTGATGATCTTTGACAGTTGAATAATATTTTGTAAATTTATGACGGAAAGCTCACGAGTTTTCAAACTTTTAGAAAATATGACGCATCAAATCTATGAATCTCTCCCTGTTCCTCCCGCTTCAAATTCTCCTCATACATTTAAATGTCAAAATATTAAAAATTCTTTATTCCATGTCATGCTGTAATTTCCACGTAAACTGGCTAAAAACTGTTTAAAGTACTATTTTATGATGCAGATTTTTCCAGAGATTTTTTTCTTATATATGAGCAATGAATTATTTTCTCAAAAAGTAGCAAAAGAGTCAGAATTTCATTTTAAGGAAGAATATTTGACTACACGTCTAGAAATCAATCTAATCACATTTCAAGTTCGCCAGTGTTATCTCTTGTCTCATTTTTTTACAGGAAAGCTAGGCAACTTAACACCTTAAAACTCTCTGTGAACTTCGTCTACAGTATGAAGAATGTACTCACACATTTTCAAAACAGAGCTTTGTTTGGATTTCCTGTGAAAAATTTTCACGACAGAAACTCAGGGAACGTCAAGTGTACTTAGGCTGATTCTGGATGATGCCGCCCAAATAGTTGTATACCTAAAATAGAATTATCTTATGACGAAACTCACAATAAATGAATTGCGAGGGAGAAAATTCAAAACTTGGACAATGTCAGTAGGTGTTGCACAATCTCAGCAACATATGACTGTGCTTACCAGGATTTCCAGGTTTTTTTCACTCTCAGATTTTTCCTATATCATAGTCTAAATGTAAAAGTCATTAATTGGCGATCGCTCAGGAAAGTGAGTATTTCAAAGAGCCCATATCAGAAAGGGGGAGAAAAAAGTTATGGTAACGATCTAATTTACTACAGTTTGCCTTCAGATACCAGAATCCCCCACTTTTCTTCTAATGCGTGGAAAAACCGAAGAAGCTAGGAAAGCATTATGTTGGTTGAGAGGCTGGGCTGATCCGGACGAAGTAAAAGAAGAGTTTCAGGCATTGATCAATTACACCAAACAGAGAGTTGCCTCCCTAGAATCATCTGGCGGTAACAAAAATGGTGAGTGAAATGAAAGGACGGATTTACGGTCAACTATTCTGCCGTGCTAAGGAATAACGCCGTATGAACATTCGAATGTCGCCAAATTTCCTCTCAGAAAAGATTTAATTTTGGAGAATATTGAGAATATTTGTCCTCGCAGTTTTTAGATTTTTTTAGATCAAATCTTTAACAAAATCATGTGTAAAATAAGGAGAGAAATGTCAACGATCTAGAAACTATAGACAAGGGGATCTATGCCAATGTTGAATTTCGTAACACGCTAGGAGCAACAACGACTTACATCAAATTCGCAATCAACTGTTTGAAAATCTGTGTCCAGACATGAAACGTAACTATTTTTCAAGTGAGTTTACAATTAAAATTTCAACGCTAAATCGTATATTGTAAAAACTCCCTCAAGATCACATGCATTTGAGGTTGTGACGAAGATAGCAATTGACCATTTCCACTCCACGCCCGACTATCGAACGACCGCTCCATGTGTGTTACGTTTTTTTAAAGGCCAACACCAATGCACAGTTTCTAGATCGTTGAGAAATGTTCATAAATTTTCTCGAAAATTCATGATTCGGTGAGGGAGATTTGGCAACGCCTTAGGGGTCTTACGGCAATTTTCCTTAGCACGGCAGTATTGGAGTGTTAAAAAGCAAACCCGAATAGGGTGTGTCCCTTTTATCTCTCCGATCCCTGGTAAAAATTGGTGATAGGATTCAAAATACCATAGGAGTTCTTATGGCCGACTAAAGAAGGCTATTGAAAATCATGGCTGTAGAGGGCGGAGCAAATCATATAGCCGGGCTATACGAAGCTATAAAAAAGTATACGGTCGGGCTATAGTTCCTATCACCGGGCTTTACACTTTATCGCCATCGGCTATAAAAGGCTATAAGAAATTGTAGAAATTCGTGTGCTTTGGAAATCACTAATTTTGATACGGAACTACCTTAATATTTACAAAACGCACATTATATTTTCCTTTAAAATATTTTTTCCCCCATCAATTAAAATAAGAATAATCCATACAGAGTGTGCAAACATTTCAAAATCATGAGTCGAAAAACGCTGACTCCGCGAGATTAAATATTAGAGCCTAACACAAAGCGGAGCGGCGACGCACTGGCGCCTACAAACCTAACGGGGATACTTCACGCATTGCGCAATGCGTGAAGTATCCCTGTTAGGTTTGTAGGCGCCAATGCGCGTTTCGCGCTCTCTGCCCGCCCGCCGCGCCGCAGCGTGTCACGGCGTCTGAAGCAACTACTTCACACCAGAGGTATTGCACAGTATCATATAAAAAATTTAAGGCGCTCCAACATATTAAGAATGACAGGCATCCTTCAAAAGTACGGAGCTTTCCTCGCAAAATAAATCAAGATACTACGGCACAAAAAGAGAGCGGTAGTCCAAAAACTAACTTAGTCCTAGTATCCGTATTTAGTAACGTTTAGCATAAACTTTATCGTCTGGCTGTTGCTTAATCCCATCGGCTATAAAGGCTATAAGAAATTGTACAGCCGGCTACAGAAGCTATTGGAAATCTTACATCCGACTCTAGGTCTGTTATAGTATTTTGGAACACACAGACAATTTTTACCAGGGATAAAAGTGTTTATGGGGATTATTAATTATGAATTCATTTATTTATTTTTGAATTATGATTATTAATTATTTGATGGAAATTAGACAAGTATGTAATTATTCCATAGATTCTCACGTCCAACCTCAAATAGTAAAGCATTTCCAAGGGATTTATTGGATGCTTGAAAAGCAGGAAAGAGAGCCAGGGTAGCCAACTCATGCGCTGAGATTGGCCCCTTCGGAGTTCTAATTCCTCTCTACGCAGTATAAATCATTAATTAAAGATTTTCGACTGATACTATGTGATTGGTACGAGAACCTTTGTGTAATGTCAGCAGCAGATAATGAAGATTATACGTACAAAATTTTGAGTTTGAATGTTGCTTAGTCTTCTAGCAAATAAATAAAACAAGAGAAGAAATTAGGCAACATCTGATCTAACGAGGCTGGTTCTGGTTGAATCAATGACGGTTTTTCAAAGTTGGCAATATTATTATTCCTCCATTCAAATGTATATAAATCAATCGAGCCTTGACTATGGGCAGCTTGCTTTGCAATATTTTTAATGGATTTAAATGGAAGAACAGCAGTGTTGCCAATTTGCAAAATTGCCACCGGGTTAAATCCTTCCTCTCTATATTTGCCACGTCCATGTGCAGGAGGAACAAGTAATCGGCTGGCAAAGTGTATTCATCGAACTGAATAATATCTATTATCTACCCGGCATTAATTGGGACTCCATTTTTTTGCAGCGGGCCTCAAGTTCAAAAAACCTAATGACCTCAAGGCCCAATTCTCCGAGTTAACTTCTGACAGAATCTTGATACCCTTCCGATTGGAGTTTTTCGTTACCTTGAATGCAAGTATCACATCATTTATCGGATTCCAACCCTATCAAATCATTGTTTATAAAGAACTTGGATACCCGAACTTAGGCAAGGAAATATTAGTAAGTATTAGGTTAAATTGGACTTTATTTTGCAATTAGAAACTAAAATTCCTGGCTCAGTTCAGAAACAACGTGTGTAACATTAGTTGTCCTATGCTCTTAATTCCTTAACATAGCTCTTAAAATAACAGGATATACTCGTTAGAGTCCCTTTATACCCAGAGTTAAGACAACTCGATTATCAGCTGACTGGCAGCCGGCCTTGGCTGGCCATGGAGGCACAAACGAGTGCACCCAAACGAACGATTTTGAGGGATAAGGATAAGGAATCCTGCGATGTCTGTCATCCAAAAACAACAACATCAACAAAATTGATCAATTAAAAAGAAAATGAGATTGGTTTGTGAATTATATCTTAATCTATTTTCATTTTGGACTGATGGAAATAACAATTCACTCTTGATAAACCACAATTAGGTAATATTTTCATTATTTTTGTTCAGATTCGAGTCACCGCCATCTTGGTGCACTCGTTTGTGACTCCATGAGCGAGAATCAATCAGAATTGGATTTTTTTTTGGGCCACTTTCAGCCCAACCAAAGGTGAGTTGTCGTAACTCTGGGTATAAAGGGACTCTAATACTCGTATATTCTTAGGAGAATCCGACACAGTGATGAAAAAGAGGCTTGACACAAAAGTGCGATCCTCGCGGACTAACGTCACTGATGAACAACTCTTAGGAGAAACCAAGGAAAACCAGAAAAAAATTATTATCAGCCATCAGGTTAGAAATGCGACAGCATCTAGACTCAACCCCCCCNCCCCCGTACGGGAAAAGCTTAAATATGGTTAAATATGCTCGTCTTCAATCCATAAAATAGGCTAAAAGGGAGTCGGCAAGAGCCGGAAGGGTAGTAGCTTTCAATGTCAGCTATATTAATGGTGTCCTTCAAATAAAAAATAGAAAAATATAGCGCCTGATCAGTGGCATAACTGAACGACTGTTCAAATGGAAGCAAAACTGATTTTACAAAATTGTTGAGGATGTCGGGAAATTGAATTATTTAATAATTTTTTTGGTCTACTGCATTCAAAAACATTGACCTTTTTAGTTAATGCGGCGTTTTCCTCTCTTTATCAATCTCTTTTCTTTCTCTTTTTCCATTTTTCATTAGATCGCAGGAGCTGTGCTCGTATTTTTGTCTTCGATGGGAAGTCTTTTTTTCATAAGGCGATTTGGAAAGCGTAAAATCGCCCTATTCTCCTTCGGGTTATCCACAATGTCAATTCTTGCACTAGGGACATACAGCTCGTTCCGAGATGATCTCCTTTGGATCCCGGGACTTTACTGGGCACCTTTGGCTCTCATCCTGTTGATGAGGTTTACACTTGGTTTCAGTATTATGCCACTGCCTTTTCAACTACTTAGTGAGATATTTCCACCTGTGTAAGTTTAATAATGTACAATAAGATTTTTATAATTTACAACATGGAAAACAAATGTTTATAGCCATTAGCCAGCAAAATGTGCTTTTTTATGTCCGTTGATACATAAACTTTTTTAAACTACCCTGCCTTGATATCACCTTCTCTTGAAATAACTGAGAGTCTATGATAGTCAGAAGATTCTCCAACGGAGTATTTAGACAACATTTTCACAATACCGTCAACCTTTTCAAGTATTCTTTTTTATTAGATTGTATGAATATTTTCGGTCATAATATTTTCTAATTTAGTATTAAAATATTTCAGGAATATCATCAAAGAATATCATCGAAATAACAATATTTGAAATTTATTGATTTTAAAATTAAAACTGAACATTAAAATATTTATTTAGAAAAAGGTCTAAAATATTGAAACAGTACTAACTTGACTCTGTTTGGTGTAATCACACCATAGTATCAAAATCAGCCAGAAATATAGTTAATTTTATCATAGTTTTTTTTCATGTATCAACATATCCTCCTCGACTTGTTTCCATGTATTAATCCATCCCCACTCGACTCTAAGCTACGTATTCACTATGAACGTTACTTCTTTTCATCTCAATTCTTTTTTTTTTTTACTTTCAGAGGTCGTGGCACTGCCAGTGGAATCTCAACTGCTTGGGCTTATTTATTGACTTTTTCTCTGACGAAAACTTTCTTGGTCATGGTAGCGTGGTTGAATTTGGGAAATGTGTTTTACCTTTATGGAGCATGCGGCGTCCTCGGCTGGGTATACTTTTATTTCTCCTTGCCAGAGACTGAAGGAAAATCCTTGGAGCAGATCGAGTCATACTTCACCAAAAATCATGATCGCAAGGAGAAATTCTCTGTCGGCAAATCGGGCCACTTAAAATAGAACCAGAAACATCGGAATCTGGGTTGGACCATCATGTTGCTTCACTACAGAGGCGATTTCCAAAACTTGCTCCTCCTCCGACAGAGGTCCCGTTAAGCAGAGAAAGTTAAACATATTATAATTTGTTTCATTGGATTTTATGTAGCGGACGTTGGTGGTTGTTGGACACTTTGTCATTATAAATATAATTGTATCGCCCCTTGATCTCCTCAAGATATATTTTTTTCTTCATTAATATTGTTTTTCCTTTTGCCGTGATAAGTTAATTCAAAAATTTTACTTCATTTCCTTCGATTGATTTACTTTTTTTCTACCTCCACCTGTGTTTTTGGAAACCATCAATCTCCAAGTGAGACTCGTATTAGGATTTTACGAAATGTGCTTGAGCATGTACAAATTATTTCATAAAATTCCAAAAGTATCCTTAAATTGACTTGCTCTTTCCTGCAGGATTCATTTAATCGATTTGCAATGTTATTTCCGTATTTCAATATCTGTTGTTAAATATGACAAGACTGCTTTATCATCGATATTACAAAATAGAACTGGGCAGTCTTGTAACCAATGTTTGTCTGTAGTCGCTAATGCTACAAGGAAGTCTTAATTTCGCCTGAAAAAGACTGTACGTACAGTGTGCAAGTTCTGGTATCGTTCCTGTCAGTTCTTGTTGGATCATGTATAATAAGACAGTCTTGTCTAGATCAAGGAATTCCTATTTTCTGACAGAAGCATACCACACGCATACTTATCCGATAAGCAAAACAGAATGAAACATTCGTACAAACTGGTCTATGCTCGAAAATTATCTGTATATCATTCCGAACGTTCTTCCAAACGTTGGAATCTGCGCTCTAGTTCCAGTTACACGATCAAATTGAGCCATCAAATTGGGCCTCTCATTGGTCGCATTCTGAATTCAACCAATTAGAGGACGTTAGAATTTGATCGTGTAACTGGACCTTATAGCACTAACGTTGTAATGAATGAGACCAGCTCTCTTCTTAATATGGGGTCTCTATATTAGAGTGGCGATTTTCTTAGGAGTGCAAAATGTATTAAGAAGTAATAAATAATATTTAAAAGCTCCGATGACAACAAGAATTAGAACGCACCGTGTTTTTATCTTCGAACATTGAAGAGTATTGCGTGTTGCAAGCTTCAGTCATCGAGCATTAAACCTCTTATTGGGACATTGCACCCGCAGAAACGCAGCTTTACTTAGGTGCTTACATTTTAAGAGTGGAAATTCGAAGCCTGTCGAGCGCCAACAGGTGTTGCTAAGATTGTGCAATTGCGATACTCTCATTAAACGAGAATTCAGTTGCCTAAGAAAAATTTGTTTCATGAAAGTAAGACGAAACTCTGGAGGAAATTCCCCCCAAAAAATCCACGGAGCGAATGCATTTATGCTCTTTCCAATTATTAGTAACTCTATGCCAAATCCATTACAACACGGATGGCTCTTATCGGGTATTAAATTTCCACTCTTCACATAGTCTATAATTAATGTGCAGGATGTTTAAAGATTGATTATAGAGATTAATCAAATTTCTCTCGACTGATCCAAAATTCTAAAAGTAGTTGGGAACTTTTGACGTTTTAGACCAAAGTACGTAACTCCATACAACGGGTGGACATGGAGATATACAAAAGGCAGGGTTCATTTTAAAGTACAGTTACGCTGTTACGCCCTGACGTCAGTTGAGCAATGATTTATCTTCTTGTTTTCCGGGGTTTTCCTCTAAATATCCTGTAATTTCATTTTTAGACTCTTTCTCTTGAGAGGCCATCTAGGGAACGTACGTAAATGTCTGTGACAATAATGTTTTAAGAGCAATCAAGTAACCTGCTCTGGAAGTATACATTCAACGTAAAAAAATGAAGGAAGGTAATAATCAACAAAAGAAGAAAATTATGTATGTGTGCAGTTACTTTCTTCATGTAGATTATGATTTTACTGATGAGTCAGAAATAGTAGTTCCCTACTTCAAAATGTAATATAAATATTATAAAATCAAGTGAAATCATATATGTGGTTCAAATTCAAGCTTCTCTGTCAAACAACAAAAACATATGAATGTGCAGAAGTAAAAAATATTTTATTAGATCAAACTACTCAATAAAACTATGTACAGAACTTAAATTACTTTGAAAATATCACAGATCGATAGCAAGAGCCGAATTCTTTTTTTATGGATCTCCTTTTTGAACACTTTTTCCCATGGAGAATTTTTCCTTCTTGTCATGCTTTTTGGTGAAGTAGGATTCGATCTGTTCCAGTGATTTCCCTTCCGTCTCCGGTAAGCAGAAGTAATGGTAGGTTGATCCGAGCAATGTACAGATTCCGTAGAGATACATTATCCCATTGAAACCAATCCACGCCTCGACGTAGAGATACAACTTTACATGAACGGACAACACGAGATGCGCCCAAGCGGCCGATAGGCCTGTCGCTGTACCACGGCTCCTGGAAAAGAGGAAGATTAAGGGTCATCTATTGCCATAACGAGGTCTGAACTTGAAAGTATTAGAATTATTGCTTTACATAACTGTGCAGCAGGTGAATAGTCAGAAATTTCATTAAATACCTGAAAATAAAAGTCAATTTTACTTTCTAAAAGTGCAATTCTGATTTTTTTTTTCTTTTTTTTTCAAAATTTAATTTCGTTTTATTTGTGTTTATTACAAATATATGACCTGAACATGAAGATGGAAGTCATCCATTAAAGGTATGTTCACTCCTCTATAAGCTACCCGTAATCCAACCTCTCACCACTTTCTTAATTTTGTGAGCCTCGCTTGACACCCCCCCCCCCCAACTGTTCTTTTGAAAGAAAAAAAATACAGCAAGAAACCTGAAAAGTTGCTGAAACATTATTTTCATATGAAAATATTATTTTATTTTAAAGTGGGAGGCTTACGTAAGTCTGGGCATAATCCCCCTTCCCCCGTAACACTTTGTGAGCCAAGCTCAGACCCCCGTCGTAAGTGACTTTCGTACTACTTAAACGGTATCTACTCTGATATGTCATGGTTTGTATAAGCCTTATCCTCCATTGCTAGTAAAATTACCTACTTTGCGATTTGAAGGCGTTTTATAGCGCTGGTTTGTAGGCAGGTTAAGAGATAACCAAATCATGCTTTTGGGTCGGCCTTGCTGCACGACGTTACAGCCTAATCCCTGACTGGAGCAATGAACCCCTTTCCTTCCTCCCCCAAATAATGGTTGCGTTTAAACGTTTCACAGGACACCAGCAGGTGCAAAATAGCAGCCGCCATTTTAAAGAGTAAACATCTTACTCATTACTTGATAACTGAAGATCGTAATATTGAACCCTGAGGAAATTAAACACTAAATTTCATAGGTTTAAAAATCGGTTTTCTAATTCAAATGTTGAAAATAATAACTAACTCCTTCCAGGGACAGGGGCTTTAAAGTTTCCCAAAAATCTGAATTCTTCTGGAGTCCCGCCGAGAAAATGCAATAATGGTTAAAACGACCATAGTTGTGATGTTCCAAAGGGACTCTAAACTCATAGCAGTTATGACCCAAAAATGGACCTGATATTTTTACAATTGAGTGATAATTTTACCTTAACGCTAGCGCTAGTAAAATTATCATGGAATGGTGAAAGTACCCCTATCATTGGTGATGATTACTATCAACAAAAGGCCCTTATATAAAATCACTATCATGGTATTTTTCACCATAGTTTTTTCTTAGTGTATCTCACCACGGCGCGGGGTGGATTGTTATTACTCAGCGAGATGAAACTACTTACAAAGGTGGGAAAACTTCGCAAACGATCTGCCACGGCAGGGTGACAGTACTGAGGCCATTGAGGAAGTTGACGACGGTCCATAATGCGATTGGGACCCACACACGCAGAGGATACTGAGTCAAACCTTGCAGGAAGGTAGCGTAGATTCCGACACCTGCTATAGCCACGCCCCCTAAGGCATGCGAGAAAATGGCAATCCTCCTCTTGCCGAATCGACGCAGGAACACCACGTTTATCATCGCGCCCAGGAAGAGCCAACCGGTGCCCATCGTCTAAGAAGCAAATACAGTTCTCATTAAGTACATTTGAAAGGTTTGCACTTGAGGAGGTTAAATTAGAGAACCTATATAGAGAGTATGGACAACTCGAAATACGTAGCTCTTAGGGCCAAAAAGGGTAGGTAACCTTTGAAAACGAAAAATGTCACTGTCAGTCTTCAGACTACAATATCAAAGGAAAATGGACAAGGAAATTCATTAGTAACATTCTTCCGCAAAAATGAGTAAGTTTATGCAAAAATCAAGTCAAATACGTGCTTTACCAACGACAGTTCCCAACAATTGTGATTATCAATCACTCTGGATAATTTGAAGTCATAGATTGCCTACCCTTTTGAGGTCCAAGAGCTCCATCACCTAACTTCAGAATTTTCGACATGTCCATACTCTCCCTTTACAGGTACTCTAGGTTAAATTATCGTAGCGATACATGCTCGCACGGGTACTAATATAGTACTTCCTTGTTTATCAGTTACTGTATTTAAATAAACAATTTTCAATTTTTCTTCTCATCGTAGATGATTAATCGAGAGATTTAAAACAAATTCGTACACTTAGTATTTGATGCAACAAGTATTTAAATGTGTAACTGATTACTTTTCGACAAGTAGCTTTTCTGTAAGCTATCGGTTAAAGGGTTGTTAATTAGTTGTATTAAAATATCTAAAGCTCCTCATTGATTTAAATTCCATTTTTTAAAAACTTGAGCAGAAATGAATTTCAGTATTATGTAAAAAGACCAGGGAGATACACTTACCAAAAATAGTTTAGGATCGATTGGCGATTCTAGCTTTTTGAGCTCATTAATGAAGTAGGGCCTGATACCTCCGACATAACCAAAGAAGCAAATGATGAACAAGGTAAAGACCATACGGAGGGGTCGGAATGTCTTTTTGTTCATTAGCTCTTTGAATTGCTGCGTTAAAAAGCCATCTTTCCTGACGAGTGGTCCATCTGGAAAATAAAACACACATCGTCTTTAACTGCTGGTGAATCAAGAAAAACCAAAAGTATGTAGTAAATTGATCCGATTTATTCACGAAAAAACAAAATTGATTCGGATTCGATTTATTTAGTGCAAAATTGCGCATCAAGTGGTCGCATAATTGCGAGGTGACACCCCCCCCCCTCCGTTCACCTTCCAAGGGCGCTAGGGGGACTTTAAGATCATAAAATTCGGATGCCTTCGGGTCAATTCCCCACTTCATGATCCCTGACATCGTGCGACCTAAAACAACCGAATAAAAGTCTTGTTTCGGGGCCGATTATTCGCTTGCGCGCAACGAGTGGACTCCCCGCTAATTTGAATATTGGCGCGCCAATTTATATATTTTGCCAAGCGCGCCACTGGAATTGGCGGGAACCAATGGGAGTGCGAGTTTCGACGAAGCTTTCATTCGCGTTTAGAGTCCCTTTATACTGAGAGTCAAGACAATTTGAATCCATTTCTGATTGGTTCCCGTATTTTAGGCTTCCACAGTGTCACAAACGGGAATAAAGATTACATTTTCACCAATTGCAAAGATTATAATCTGGAATGGACCAGGGAATTACGGGTTCGGCAAGGAACAAACGGAATGAGAGGAGGAACGGAGAAAGGCATTTGAGAATGGGCCGATCAAAGATTACGAGAAACGTTCAATTTCTGTAATCTTTATTCCCGTTTGTGACATCCATGAGCCGAATTGTCTTGACTCTCAGTATAAAGGGACTCTATTCGCGTTGTTTTTTTGATAAAGAAGATGTAAACAAACGTGGTTCCTCGTCTTCTCGTGAGTGTTGTGAATCAATGAATCGTCCTTTGAATACATAAATATTTAAAGTTTCTCGAGGTTCTTTACTGTTTCTAATAGTGCGAAGTAGTTTTCATTTACCAATCTTAATCATATTCCACCAAAGAATGTTAAATTCTGTGTTCCTTCGTTCAATGTTCATGAGTGCAAGTCGACACCTCGAGGTGTAATATCAGTAAGTTCTCACTGATAGTTTATTTATTCCTCCTAGCAGTTTCATTAGCACAGTACCGTTCAAAATTATTGAGGCTTTCAAATTCCAGGAAGCTTCAAACTTTTCATTTTGGTCCATTAGTCAATTGAATGATTATTTATCACTGGGGATTCATTTGTCAAGTAGTGGTCTACCTTCTTCAAATGTGTTTGAACGTCAGCGTGTTACCAGTTTATCTATACTCTTAGTCACTTGAAAAAGGGTCTTCATAGCTGAGACATAGAATAATTCATGCCCACAAATAAGACTATGGAAGGTTGCAGTCAAATTCAGAGTCTAATCTTTTGAGTAGTGTCTACAAGGGGCCTGCCAAAGTTTGATTTCTTTATGATGATCGTGCCTTAAAAATGGTTAATTTCATGCCTAAGGTGTTAGATATCCCTCAAAGATTGATATCAAGATGGAATAAATGTTCCTTGAAGCCTTTTAGCTAGGCTTTTATTGTTAGCGAAGAGAAATAGAAGAGTTGATCTATCTGTGGACAGATAACCAAAACTAAATACCCGAAGGCTGCCATGAACATTCACACTAAATGTTAAGATTGATGAACATTGACCCTCTTTCGGTCAGATCTATTTATTCCATAGCAGCACATATAGGACTCTCTCAAGCAGGAGAACTGTTTAGGCATTAAGTATGCGCTACTTTAGAGCAAAGTCATCGTATGTTGAGACAAATGTCAATCTCTGATTTGCTCTAAATCAGCACCACTCAATAGGCTAATACACACAGTCAGATGGCACCACTGATGAGTGGTAACATAAATAATACTTAACTTTTTTCTCAACATGCAATGACTCTGCTCTAATAATTTTACATTATACCTAGAGTAAGTAACTGGCACTGCGCAGTGAGAAATTATTTTAATAATTGAGCGAGCACCATATTTTTATTGGGCGCAATGGCATGGCGATTGGGTGTCGCAGATTACGAATTTTTGCTGTAAAAGTAGCTGTCATATCTGTATCATTTATTTTAACACTTATCTTGTATACTCATCTTTTCACAGAGACAGATCTATGTCTGATTTCATGCGGGACTTGAAAGAATTTGTCGGTAACAGCTGCCATGGTTTTTCGTTACGGCGGCTCTGCACATGAGGAAGTATCATCGCCTTACATTTTAGTGTAAGTATCTTGCTTGAATACAATATTGCCTCCTCACTAATCCTCTAAGGCTGGAAAAAAAGTTTGGCTACTCCCACCCACCCTAGGCAGTGAAAATTTAGTCTTAAGTGAGCGGCTGGATCAAAAATTGGAAAATGGCGACTGTCTGGCGCAGTCTTGGTCGTCTCAAGCCTGGCTTCAAGATTTTAGTAAGATAGATAAGTATGTAACTTTCTCGCATACCAACCCATAAACTGACAAATTCAGGAACAACAACAAAGAGGGGACTGATGTATACATGCAATAATTTCTGATTCAATAGGAGAAAAGTAAATTATGAAGAAAAATCGAAGTAGATTCAACGATCGGTTCGTCTACAAACCCCAGAATAATTTTTTTCTTTTTTCTTTTTTTGCCAATAATCTTAAATACGACCTCAAACATCAACATCACTGTTGATGTATAAGGTTGTACACTGTTGATGAAATCTAATTGTTAGACTAGAAAACGACTTTTGCTGGATTATAATGGACATTTACCATCGTCTACGGTTGAATTCGTTGAGTCCTGTCTACTTAGGCCAGCAGAGTTCCTCGTGTAATTGACCAAAGCTTGGAATTCTGGCTCAGCCTCATCTGCAGTTACCCATCCTCTCAGCCAGCACAGGGATTTCCTTGCTTCGTCTAACCGACCCCTGACTATCAGCCATGTGGGAGACTCGGGCAACTAAGGATCAAAGCAACAAAGGCATGCATATAAATTGGTATCATGGTACTTAGTGGAACAATTTGATAGTCAATCGATCAATAACTTCTGCCTTCTAAGACATCTTTTCAAAATCCCTGATATTAATATCAAATTTTTATATTCCCTGTATTTACCAATTCGATCTAAGAACTTTTTAAAAATTCAAAAGTACATATCAAGTTAATATCTTGAAGCAAGGCACGTAAAGATTTCACCTGAGAACTCTTAGAGTCATTTCAAGATTTTCCTATGTAAAATCTTGAATATGATTCCCAACATATTTCAGTGTGATGCAAATTTCAGAAATTTTTTAGATGAACTTTGAGGTAAGTAATGTAGTAGTTAAGAATAATGCAAAACGGAAAAATTTAACCAAAAATAACCTTTCTGCAACTCAAATTACACTAAAATGATAAATTAGTACAAGAATAATATGATGTAATTTTGACTTTAAAAAATTTTATCAAAATGGTAAGCTAATCATAATCTGAAGAGATGCATGCTTCTGCATTTTGCTATCTATTACCAGAGACATTTTTACATTTTTCTTCTTCTTTTACAAACAACAAGGGCATATTCCTGTTTGTAAGGCCATCTAGTATGAAGCAAATTAAATCATTAAAATATCATACGTCTTTCTGATGTAAATTAAATTCCAACTTGAACTTGAAATCTTATGGCTTAACTATCATTCAGGTGATTGTATATTGGGGATTTCTTACCTGCGTCATCATTAAGAAGGTGATAACAGAGCACGAACTGCTAATCAAAGCAACAGTTTTCCATTCAAATAGATAGCCGAGCAAGTACATAAGTGAAACACCTGTAAAATAATATATGGAGAAGTTTAAAGATGTTCCGGAAAGAATAATATGCAAGGCAGGCGAAAAATTAAAATATTTGTCTTATGCATTTCCTGCCGACCTGAGTGTCTTTGCAAGTTGATGCACCTACTTCTCTCTGATCAACGTGCATTTGTGAGTTATCCCATAAAGAGTGAACTTTTTATGGAATACTCGAGGTAGTTTACACAAAAAGATTTTGAGCTGTCAGCGCGGGAAAAATATACCTTTTAAAATATGATTTTGAAAGTGATAATTTTAAGCAACATAGCAACTGTATTGGAGCATCAGATGTTCATTCTAATATTCTGAGTGGCACATCAGGGATGTATGTAAGTAGGATAGGTAATGTGAAGTGAGAGAAGTGAAGTACTTAGGTACTGGGAGCATAAACTCCACTAAGAACAAGGTGGTTGGCATTATGTTTTCACCTCGTTAAAGTATACAATTATTTCTATTTAGTGTCGGAGCAAGAAATTTTTCATGGGAAGAGTGTCCATGATCAAAAATTTTTCACAGGAGACGGTCTAAAGGTAGAAAGTCCTGAAAATCTCGAAGCCTGATGTTTTCCTCGGTTTTCCAGTATTNTGGGGGGGGGGGGGATCTCTTGAATTCTTCTCCCCTAACTGCACATAATGACATTTTGTCGTTTTCCAATGTTGCCAAATTTCCACTCGTAAGTTGCATTTTAACAGGAAATTTATTAGGCATTTCTAACTGAAAATTTCACTGATTTTTTCTCTGATCTCATGCAAAAATCTGGAAAATTTTAGATAGACATTGCGCAGGTGCATTTTTAAAAGGAATTGAATTTTTTGCGTCAATTTTGCAACCTTTGAGTGGAGTTAGGTTTTTTGGTGTGGGAAATGACGATTTATCATCGGTATTACAATACACGGCTCACAGGCAAACTTGGCTGGCTTTTTTTAAATTTTTATATTTGATTCTTTTATTTTCTTTCCGTCAAAATGTTATTGAAATGCGTTCCCGTCACAGGGAACCTATTTACAGTGTTTTGAAACGGCTCACACTGGGCCGCGTCAATAGGAGGGGTCGGACAAAATCTGGAGACTTTAAACGCTTATGTTTTCGAAATTACGAAACAAAAAAGTTCAGAGTGGTTTCATTGGGTTTCTCGTGAAATTTTCTTTCAGAAACACCCTTTGAAATTGAATTTGTTACAAAATAATCATAAAAATTTGAGATTTTTTCCGCCACAAAGGACCTATTTATGGTGTTTTGAAACGGTTCACACTGGATCGAGCCAATAGGAGATGTCGGACAAAATCTGGAAACTTTGCAAGCTTATATTCTCGAAATTATGAAACAAAATTTAAGAGTGGTTTCATTGGGTTTCTCGTGAAATTTTCTTCGGGAACACCCTTTAAAATTGAATTTGTGACAAAATAATCATAAAAATTTGGATAAAAAATTCCATATCCGAGCTCGTCTATTAAGGCCTAGATACACACGGCGGTTAATCGTCACAATTGAAAGACGGAAGCCAATGGAGAGCCTTGATTTCGATCCATTGACGTCGATATATCGAAATCAAGGCTCTCCATTGGCTTCCATCTTTCACTCGCGGCGATTAATCGCCGTGTGTATCTAGGCCTTTAGTTCCCTCCACTGCTGAGAACCGCTGCGGCTGAGCAATTGAGCATATTCACCTATAATACAGCACGACGTGGAGATGGTGGACAGGGTGCCTCTCATGCGCGGCTCCCCGATCTCACCGATGTAAGCGTGGAGGGGGGCTTCGGCGAGTCCCGTGCAGAGTCCCATGATAACCGAAACCGCGTAGAGCATGTAGACCGACTTGGCAAAGTACAGGGTCATCCAACCGATGAAAATAGGGATGTTGATCATCATGACGGCCCCTTTGCGCCCGAACTTCTCCTGGAGCAGCCCTGACGTCAGACTCCCGATCGGGTGAAAGAAGTCCGGGATACTTCCTGCACAACACACAGCCAAAGTTCAGCGTAGAGTCCCTTTATGCTGAGAGTAAAGACAATGCGAATCCATTTCCGATTGGTTCCCGTATTTCAGGCCTTCGCAGTGTCACAAACGGGAATAAAGATTACGCTTTCACCACTTGCAACGATTATTATAAACCGGAATGGACCGGGGAATTGGGGGTACGGCGAGTAAGAAATGAAATGAGAGAGGGAACGGAGACAGGAATTCGGGAATAGGGTTGATCAAATATTACAAAAAACGTCCGATTTGTGTAGTCTTTATTCCCGTTTGTGACATCCATAAGCCGCGTTTTCTCAACTCTCTCTATAAAGGGACTCTAGTTAGCAATGAGGGATGAAAATCAAGAACTCCTATCCGAAGGTGTTTAAATTTGTTTCTTTATTAGGAACCTCTATGAGGTTTGCATTCACGGGAGGAAAGTATGGTACATCTTAAAGGGAGTCTTGAGTCTCTGTCTTCACAATGTAAAATTCACTGATGCTAAGGTACACGTTTCTCAAATTCTGCCGGATGGATTTTCAAATACTTCTGCTTGATTCATCAGACTTTTTTCTGGCTTTAGACAAGCGGGTTTTTGATAATTCAAAAATCTGAATTGAGTTTTTCCCAAAATTTAAGTCAAAGGGCCCATGGATTTTTCCTTTCTTAAAACGGAATCGGAGGAACTTTTCTCCTTTTTAGGTAGAGAGAAAAATTGAAAGAAAACGAATAAAAAGTTTTTGAAATTCCATCCAGTAAAGTCTGAGAAAAGGTAGATACAAGATAAAGGTGTAAGGATAGATAAAGGTAGAATCTGTACCTGGAGGTAAAAAACCGTTGTTTTGAGAATACAAGTGTAAAGTTTTGGACACATACAGGAGTCAATTTACGTACTCTGAGGCGCCTTCATTTTCGTCTGATACTGTGCAATACTTTTGTGGTGGAATAGTTGCTCTGAGCGCCTTCTACAGTATCGCTTCGGCTTAATGGGGGAAGATCACGATTGCCGCCTATTACACTGTAGTGTGTGCGTGGTTACACATTTTATCTTCGTCGACGGTTAAGTAAAAAACATTCATAACTTCATTTGCGACGTTGCAAGATTTTCACCGCCAATTTTGCACGGGTAAATAAATGTAAACACTTCAAACTCTGCCGTTATTCTTCCGAGAAATCCATGATGTCTAGACGGGGATAAACTGGGATGCATCAGGGAATGAAAAATGACAGGAAAAATTAGAGAAAAAACAGGGAATCTGTTCTAGAAATAGGAAATCTCTTCTTTTACCGCCTAGAAACCATTTCGTTTTCAAATTTTGCAGGAATGTTCAGTCCCTACCTATTGTCATTAAGGTTTATGTCAGGAGTCAATGATGTTCCCGATCACGCGAAAATTGTGAAAAGTCGTCAGGTTTTTTCCTCTTTTCTTTTTGGTCGACGTCCGACAAAGAAATGGTACAATAAGCGTTGATTAAGCCTCTCTTCCTCCCACTTTATAATTTTCTTCCTACCGGTCGACCAAAAAATCTGATGGCTTGAAAAAAAATGGTTATCACTTTTTGTGGAAGTACTTTTTCGGCCTGCGCGGAATTTTGGAAAGCAGGGACCTTAATCGACCCCTGGTTTATGTAAATGCTCCTAAGCCGCCATTATTGACCTCTTGAATGACATATTTGAATTATCAAATTATCATGATAGAGAAGCTTACATTGGCCAGATAATGTAAACATCAGGAACGCTTTTGGAAATTAAAATTAGAGTGTGCGCCAGAGGATTGGCTGAAAAATTAAAAAATTTGTATTCATGTCTGGAATTCGAGATAATTATACTCTTTTCCCCAGAAAATTCCAGGGAAGTGGGAGAAAACTCCGGTCTCTCTCAAGGAAATGAGCTCTTAAAAATCAGGGGGAAATCAGGGAATGAGCGGGGTCAAGGATCCTAAACACCATTATCTATCCTCACGTCTTATTTACATTTTAATATGCCTCTTACCAAACCAAGACGCTTCATCATCATTCAAATTGAGGGCCGCTGCGGGGTTATTATGGAGTGCTCCTAAGACTATGACAGGCATGGCCATCTCTAGTCCGATTTCGATGAGCAGCCAGTTTTGCATTATTATCGCCAAAATCTGCAACGTTCAAAAATCATTTCTGCTGATTCTATTTACAAGTATTCATGAATATAACTTGCAAAATGACATCATTTTGTTCGTTGTCATTAATATTCCGCCACTTGACTTCTCGAAAACTGGAGTGAGTGCACACAATTCGTGATAGTGCACTCCCACTTGGAAGTATACCGTGCATAAGAATGTAAACAGACCCAAGCAAAATCATTTCCAATGTTGCGTCCGAAAAGGAAAACGAACTCTCATGGTAGTATTTCTCTGAAATCAAAAATGACTTTTCGGCATAGAAACTAGGGGAGGACCCATAGTTTTAACGTATCTACATAAAAATGAAAAAAGAGGAGGAAAGTCTCCTTGATTGATGCATCTTTTAATAACACACGATTCTGTGATTTACATGATTCTGTGCAAAATTTCATATTTAATATTCATTTATGCATATCAAATGACTAATATGGCTTTGAAGATGTATATTTCTCTTTGAGGCTTTCCTCAGAAAATTACAAGAGGATAATCGTACAAAAATTGAACTGTAATTCAGTGGACTAAATATTGCGTACCGCTGAGTTGAAAAACATTTACATGAACAGAAAATTTAACATGATTATGAACCGTGAAAGATTAATATTCTTTGAAAATCAATATTTTTTGTCACGCGTCTGCATGTATGACAATTTTTTTCTCTTGTTATCGTCGATTTCAATTTTTCACAAATGTGAATAATTAAAAAATTCTGTAAAATGCACTCTGAACCATTTCTATAACCAGTGAACCGTGTGAATTTATTGAAACTGATTTGCACTACTTAATTTGTGAGACTGCAAGTTTTTAAATTTTTTTAACATGAATTTGACGTTAAAGCCGGCAATGAGTATAAATTCACGCAGCTATTTGTTTTTCCTCTTGATCATTAAATTTCTTGCTTTCTTTTTCATTGGCTTCAGAGAACTAGTGCAAAACTCATTTTTATGCAATTTTTTAGTTTTTTAGATTCTTTCCAAAATCACTAACCTGTGCAAATGCTGATTTTCCAGGGTTTTTATACTGAAAACTTGGCTTTGCATCATTTCCCGGAACATCGAGACTTTTAGATGGCTCCGTCTTGTTACACATTCTGAATTTATCACCTTACAACTCGTTGAAATAATATGTTTCCGGTTCGTAGTTCAATCAGTTCACTCTTCGTCTGTTTTATCTGGAAGATACAAAAGTAAATGAAACAATGCAGAATAATCTGTAGATCTTCAAGATAACTAGAAGCGTAAATCCCAATAACACCCTCTTCCGGCAGAATTACCGTTTTTCCGCAAAATTTCAGATATTGTTTTCTTAGCCAAGCGAAGAATTATTCCTCGATTATTTCTTTCAAAAATGCCAGGTATCATTCTCTAGAACACATGAAATCAGAGTCGAGCCTTTGAAATATCGTAATCAAGGGAGCTGGTTTCACCGTCAAAAAGTGACCACTCTACTAATGTACGTAATTACTCTTGCAAAAATCTGCAAGATGATCGTGTTTCATTTTTTTCGCTAATATGCGAGTGTTTGCTTCTGCTTGATTAACCGTCTATCAGAAAATATCCGTCTTGAATAATCGGCAACAGCGCGCAAACGCATAGGCCTTACTTTAAAAAAAAGAAAGAAAAAGATTCTTCTGTAAACAAAGTCCTCGAGGGAGGCAGCTTTGATTCATTAGTTAGTTACGCACCTGATATCAACGCTGAACGCTATGATAGGCTGAGCAAATATAGGTATCTTCATATTGCACTGAAAATCCGATCAAATCTTATGCGACAGTGATTAAGATACGAAACTGCTAATAAAGCAAACGTCGAAACACTGATACGCAGTTATGCGAATCTTCCTTATTTCAAAACATTGGAATGATAATCACCTAAGCGGTAAGAGCATTGAACTAGAACGTTTCGACGTATCTATGCAGAAAGGAACTCCGTCTAAATGAATAAAATAAAACTGAATCACGTAGCATGCAGATAAACGGGTATGCAAGTGATTACTTTTGTTTTATTCATTTTCACCTAGTTCCTCTCAACATAAATAGGTCCAATTGCGAGGCAAGGTTTCAACATTTTAAAAAAAATATTGATTGATAGGTAGACGGATTTATCGGAATAAACTTTACCACAAAAAACATAATTCGATTTTGACTACATTTTGCAATTAGGAACAACAGTTTCAGGCTCATCCATAAAAACACCTATGTGCCGAAACTAATGGTACGTACGTTGTTTTTAAATTGAACCAGAAATTGTAGTTCCTAATCGCAAAATGCACTCCATTCATTCTCTTGTTTTGCCTGAAAACTTAGCCACTCTCTGACTTGAAATTTTAGTAAGTATGTATTTAAAATCTAAGGATAATTCAGATGAAGTTGTGAGACGTTGTGTTTTATATGTAGGTCTCTATGGAGGTCCACGGATAAGTATCCGTTGCAACACAATTAAGTAAAATATGTCAAGATCAAGAGTTTATCTTAAAATTGATTTCAATCCCAATGTGACCGGAAGGAAGCCTTGCCCACAATAACTGAACATTGTTATTATATTGATACCCAAGTATCGAGGAGACTGTCACAACCATTTCGAGACCGAAATTGCCGGATCATATCAAATCAAACCAAAAGTGGCTAAAAAATTACAGTTCAAAAAAATTTGGTCCCGAGGAAAAGCTGCGTAAAATTTTAATCTGCAGTGTTCAGGGGGCAAGAGTGCTGATCATAGTGCAACTGTCTTCTCTGCATTGGTCATAATTGATTCTTTCGGACAATGGAGAGAGTTGCGCATCGAAATCTCAAAATAAAATTATTCGACCCAACTCAAAAAAACATGGTTCTACGGAAAATTTTGCCTCCGTGGAGTAGGGTACTTTCCTTCATGGGCAGTCATAATCTCTCATCAGTACTCAATTAGATGCCTATCTTTTGTTCATCTTAAGCCTACGAGAATTAAATAGTCTAAATTTGTGAATATCGAACAGTAAACCATCAATGAGCGATATTCTTCTGCGAATGGTGTAGTTTCTATCATTTTTTTGCAGTACAATTTTTTGGAAACAAATAGAGCCGTTTATAGTCGATTCGTATAAAATTTCGGGGAGCAGCGTTCAAAAGGAAATTAACTTAAGGTGTTCATTTCTTATACCGACAATTCTATTTGATCTGCCCAATTTTGAACTGTTTTCAAGAAAATGTATTGTTTTGGGTATGATCCCAGTGCCGTACATCTCTAAATTGAAAAATTGGTCATCATCGTATAGAGGAGACCCTTTTCCAACTATTTAGCAGGAAAAACGCCTAAATGTTGAATCCAATTGCTATTATGAGGGTTTAAAGTTTGCAACTCAAAAAATTTACTTTTGAAAGAAGATTTTTGCAGTTTCAATATTTCGTGTTCAGAGCTCTGTGTCCAAATGAAGGTTACTGCTCCGATTTTCCTCTTAGAGAAACGAGAAAATCTTGATTCCTAAAGCAAATGACCCGCGAAATTTCGACCCAATGCAACGAACATCGTGCACGAAAGTTCCTTTCTCCTGTTGATGGCGTTCTTAAAATTTGTGGAGCTTTTAATGCCGACTTACCAGAAATATTCAAGACGAAATTTTCCTAAGAATATCCGTGAAAATAATGGTAACTGCAGTTTTCTAGTCGTTCCAGTCAACTTTTCAAAACCACAACTTAGTCTTAACTTTTGGCGGAGTCGCTCAATCAATCACCGATCCGCGAACTGCGAATAACAGCACCAAGAAAAATATCCAGATCCACGGACAATTTCACGACTGCCTAGATGCACTAAGGAACAGAGTGAGTCCATGACATGCCGGCTTCTTGTATTTATTTACAATTTCGAAAGTCATGTGTAGATAAACGGATGCCGCACTTCAGACTCTCAAAAGCTTAACTAGCCGCCTACAAGTCTCGACTTGGGTGCTTGAGATTCACCTAAGATACTCTTGCGTCACGATCGACCAATCAGAGGAGTGGAGTCCACAACATCGGACCAATCAGAGGACGTCGATGGAACGGTGCACTCAACCGAGGTCCGAGGTGTGAAGAAAGACCCACTGTTCCTCGTCATTACGGATGTTACGGAGTTACCTATTTTGTTATTTATTTACGAGAGAGCACTTAACGACAAATGTTATTATTAGGTCCTTACGTGAGGTTTACGGTGAGTTTTCGGAAATGTTTATCGATCCCCACTACCGGTTACGGCTTGTTTGATTGAATAACCTTTTTCAAGAGACTGCCGACACTCAAATCGGCAAGCATAGATGCAGTTGAAGAGTTTAACTACTCTTGATGAGGTCAAAGAAGTGGCGTCATAACTCCATAATTAAGCTATTACCCTCTAGAGGCTCCTATCTTGCATTTATATCATCATTATTATAGTTCCGCACAGTTCACTTGAAGGCTACATTATTTTGCCGGTTTGCTCGTTGATTTTTGTTGATTTTCCTCGTCGATAATATGTGTGGGTGACTGTGAGTGTGTGTTTGTGACAGGGTGAGGAAGGGAATAAATCACTGAATTATGACAATATGTGATGTATATTAAATTTTGAATCAACTTTTTTAGTTTTTCGGTCTATTGTGCGTGTGTATTTAATAAAGTCGGATTCTTTAAAAAGCTGAGAATCTCAAAGATGTAAAGAATCGGTAAAAAGAGGTATCATCAGCAAAACGCTAGCTCTCCGAGAAGCTTTAGTTTTATGTTGTCTACTTACACCACCCATCTTTTGCGTCAAGATTTACGGAAAATTTTGGATCCAAAGTGATGAAACGTAGATGCAAGAAACATGCATTTACCTAGTATCACTCTGGAATCAGCGAACCTTATCTAAAATTCAATTGTTTGCCGGAAAGCGAGTATTATCGTGCTTATGATATATCTGTTCTCCAATTTGATTTATTTTATTTGGCTTTGGAGGTAATACAAAAGCGTACTTACTTTACGAATACATCTCTGAATTGCTCAAATTTTTTTAAATTTCAGCTTATTCTCAGGATATTTAAAAGTTCACATTAATTGAATTTAGACGTCCAATGTGGTAGACGAACAAATCTATGGTCGTATCTTTACTATGGCTGGTTAAAAGAGTGGTAGACATCGTGAATACTTGCAATCACCATCTACTGCTGTACGTTTGCTTCTCTGTTAGATGCTTACATTAACAAAGATATTTGCGTCAGAAAATTCAGTTTGTTAGCTGTTTTTAGTCGTAATAAAATGTCCAAAAAAAAAGGAAAAAAGAAGAAAGAAAGAAAGAAAGTAGTAGTAGAAGTAATAAAATAAGTTTATTTTAAGGCGGTGCTTTAGCATCTAAGTTCTAATTTACACGAATGTAATTTATGGTTGTAGCATTCTTGTAGCAATAAAAATAAAAAAAGAAACTTCGAGTGGTCAAATATCTCTTCATTGATGTTTCATTCAAAGACAACCCGACCAATCAATCTCCCCCTTAGTTTTGACTCCCGGTAGTGATTACACGAGATTTTCATTCATACAGAATGTTTGTATGTTTTCCCAAATTTTGGAATGTTTAATTGCCAATGTCAGTTCTAAAACTTCTATAAAGCTGAGAACATCAATGCATTCGATTTGAGAAACACTTTATATAAAATACTAGGCAGGCTTATTTGGAAAACTTCCCTGACAATGCTCGAAAAGTAATGAAAATAGGTAGATCTCTAGGTGTAGCTGTGGAAAGAAATGCAAATTTAGATAGCCAGAGATTTTGAACACATGATGTTGATGAAAAAAAAAAAAACTTGAAACCTAATAATTTCCAAAGCTTTTAGACTCAATGGGGATTTCTTTACAAATTAACGTATTTATGCTGAGATGACCTATGTTGTACGTAAACTTTATGCTGATAGTTTCTTTTAGCACAAATACATCCGAATCTTATTTCATATGTGTGTGTCAATCTTAATCGCTTATACAGACGTGACGCCTTAAACTACACGCGTCTAAAGACATCAAATTGACTTCCGAAACGCCTTCAATAAGTGATGCAGGCAATTTCTCATGCTTGAATCGTATCGGGAAGTTGGATATTGTGAAGGCGTTTTGAGTTTCCACCGTTTATCCAGAAATCGTAGAAAATTGCAGATTAAGTCCACAAGGTTCGTTTAACTTACCGAAAGATTTCACCCGAAGAATATGCCTCCCGCCTCCCTCAACCCCTCTCGTTTTTACATGGCCAAAATGCCTGTATTCCGTAAATTTCAACAAACTCGTTTTCTGTTGATAAGCACGACAAGGGCGGATAGGCTTCTAGTAATTTTGTCCGATTTTATGTCAATAAGTTCCAGGTTCGATCACTTGTGAAGACGCCACAGCAGTGGCGTGGCGTGAATTGCGATATATCGATTGTTATGCCATTTAAACCTATCGTAAAGAATCGATTATTAGGGTGTTCGCAGCGAACACCTTAGTAATCGATTCTTTACCATAGCTTCAAATGCCGAGATATCGATAATCGATCATTCACGCCACGCTACTGCGCCACAGTTTTATCGAGCTGACAAGTAGGTCTGCCCATGCAACTTCTTTCAGCTCGACGTGAAACATGGATGAAACCAAGGCGAAAGAATCCACGGCATGCACCACAGCGGTGGATGACGTCATACGCCGTGTATTTTGAAGGGCAATATCTTCGTTTATCCCGGATGCGGAAACGGAGGGTATGGATTCGATCAACACCAATCGATCGGGAAATAAAAACGTGATTTGATCGATTCGTGGGTTTGTCAATCGAATCACGGATGTGTCTATCGGTTCAAGGGTTTTTCAATCCATTCACGGGTTTATCGATCGATTCACATATTTGTCGATCGATTCAGGGTCGTCGATCGAATCACGTCGATCGGCTCAAGTTTTATTTTTCGCAGTTGTCGATCGATCGGTGTCGATCAGTTCACGTCGACCGGTTCATGTTATTATTTTTCAGTGGCGTGGCGTGAATTGCGATGTATCGATTGTTATGCCATTTAAACGTATGGTAGAGAATCGATTATTAAGGTGTTCGCTGCAAACACCCTGTTTATCGATCCTTTTCCATAGGTTTAAAGGGCATAACAATCGATATATCGCAATTCACGCCACGCCACTGTTATTTTTCGATCGATGCGTTTCCACCGAGTCCATACCCTCCCGTAGAAACTTGGTGTTTGGACGAATTCTATTATCTTTTGGCCGATCTATCATCAAATCACGGTTCTGTGACTAGCACAACTGACCCATCGAGACATAGGCGGATCAAGACACTTTGACGGGGGGGGGGGGGGGGGG